GGCGAGCCAAAGCCGGCATTGAGCCCAATCTTCCAAGAGGCTGTAGTGGGAATCACAATGTTAACTTCGTTCTCCACCGCAAACACCGGTCCGGAGTTTTGCCAATACTTCAGCATTATAGTAGTTATATTTCCCAACGTACCCTGCCGTTAAAAAAAATAGGCAGTAAATAAAAAGGTTAAGATTGTTATTATAACTATAGTCTCAACTTAACTGAGTTCAATGCCGATTTGGGCTCCCCAGATCAATTCCATTGACGGGTGATTGCTGTTGGCAAAAGATAGATAGAGCTAGCTTAGAGACAGGCGAAACGAAGGACTTGCATGTTGTGGCGGTGAACGCGTTACTACCCGGAAAGGACAATAGTGGGTTCGTTCCCCACCGCAGACAAGTGCGGTCCGGAATTTTGTAAATATCTCATCATTATAGTAGTTATATTTCGCTCTGTGTGTAGTTTAACTTCTTAGCGCACTATAGAATAGGAACACAATCGGATTTTAGATTCGAACAGTACTATGTTTTTAATCAGAGAACTCTGTCACAGTTGGTAAATTATCCCTTGAAAGCTTGATGAATGTGCAACAGCGTCACTTAATATTACATAAAACGGTCCTCAGCGTTGTAAATTGTAGAAAGTAGAATGATAGGGATGAGATGACTTTTTTTCTGGCTATTAACGTCAACCTCTGCCTTAATTTGTTTTTGTTAAAAAATTAGAGCACGAAAGTCATTGCGTTTGTTAGTCTTAGATTTGCCTTTCAACGGAAGCTGTAACGCTCACCCATTGCAAGCAAAAAGAAACTGTCTTTAAAATAATTAAATAACAACCATTAAGCTGCGCTTAGAGTGGAGGACTGAATTGTTTTCACACGCGCCTTGCTAATCAATGCACATCTTTTGTGTGGGAGTGCAGCGACTTTACTGCACTATCACTGTGTGTTACAACTCGGTACTAGAGAGATGGCTGGATGACGCTCGCCAGAAGCTAGAATTCGGGGGCGAGTTATCCGCGACACAGAGACGCCATCACTCCGTCTGCCGCATAGTGAAATATTCTCTTTCCCATTCATTCAGTATAAGGATCATACCCTATGATTCTGTAATTTTTTTAACTTTGTGACTTATGAACAGTCCATGGATCACGAAACCCTTGCACCAATTAAGGCAAGAGCGGAATTAGCTCACGAATTTCGTCAATCGACAAAACCAGTGGGTTTCTCCTCGATTGACCAAAATCGTATACATCATCAAAAGACTTGGGTTTGTGTCTTTAGTCCGTCGGGTCCAAGTTGACCCAAGCAGAATTGTGTACGCTGGCCATCACTGTTAACCTAAGTCTTAGTTTGCTACATACTACGTGTTCAAGATAACAACATGCAAGAATATTCTCGATTGCGTAAAGGAACACCCAGTGTGGAAAGCGGTCTTGGTTTACATATTTCGAAGTCTTAGTCTGTATTTGGACGTGCACTAGTGTTCGTTGTCGTTCGGTCATCTGAACATGTTCAAAGACAAGTTTCAACTTTGACCCAGATCGCTTGCGGCAGCTAACCGGTTGGTCGGGTGGCCAGCCGACGAGCCAGCTAGCCAGCCTTCCGCCTAGTGCCTCCCATAGCCAGCCAAACAGTCGTCCTGATACGAGGAGACGGTGCTATTCGCTGAAATTGTTTTTCTGTGGATTGAACTCCACGATAATACGAGTTCAATCGGTTAGCATATCGCTCAGTGACCAGGCCCTTATTGGCTACAATGACCTGCCAATGCTGCACGTGTTCTTATTTTTGACGAGTTTCCTTACTACTGTACTGAGCAACCTTCCAAAATACTTGAACAGAATCATATTCTCGTTTCTTCCTCATTGATAAGCCAACATAAGGTTGATAAAAGACTTTACCCGGCGAATGACTTGACACCTTTGCCTTCTTCAGTGCCGGATTGATCCGGATCGATTGTCCGCAGTCGTTCCTTTTTCTGTTGTAAATCCTCGTGGGAGTATCAAGTCGAATCCTATGTACTACCACCCGAATAGGTTAACCTCACTCGGCCATACTCCTTTATACTGCGCAGTTGTTAATGGTGATTGCTCGTTGATAATTGTTTGTTTTTCCCCAGATCCTACAGCTGTCGTTATCATTATCAGCTAGCATAGGGTGTAACAGTATTTTAAAAACTATTTACAGTGAGAAATGATTGTCAACAGATATTCGATATCAGAAACTGCCCTGTTAAATAAGACTGTTTCATTCGGGCCATGCACCACTAGATTCACCTCGATGCGGTTACGAAAACCCACATCAGAAGAAGACAGTCGACTTGGACTAATACGGTTCGGAGGAAGCCGAACGCCTGAAACGTTAGCCAAATAAAGCCTTTATCAACATCCTCTTAACTCATCAACGAAAGAATACTTGTCGTTTGGTAAAGCCAGGGTTAAAGGAGGGTAATATTTCAAAGCATCTTTGTTTATTCGTTTACGTATGTCTCCATAGTACCGACCGCACTAAGTGCAGCTTATTTATTCTGTTATCTGTTTTCCGTTTCTCGTCTTTTTGCATCGATGGTCAGATTTATATTTCGGATGTCGCACCTTCACTATAGAAGCATTTAAAGCAATAATTAGTCATCTATCGAAAGGGAGAACTGTGAAAGAATTTCATGTTTAAGTGCTCCTATAAATTCTGCCCATATTTCCGATCAATGACATTCCTAAAGGCTCTCTGTCTAGTCGTAATCGGTCCTTCTTGTTACTCATTCCCTCTCGTTTACAGTGGCACTCATGTTTCCTGACTTCATAAAAGCATGAATTCCTTCTTAATTCATACTTTCACTGTTAATCAAATGTATTTTTTTAATCAGAAATCTAAATTCTGCGGCTACGAATGCTCAAAGATCGCATATAGTAACCTGTATTCCTTCTTTGCAGGACCCATTATGAATCTCACGAAACATGAATGTTGGATAGCAAGGGCCTTTTGGGAGTCAATTTCTAACGCAGTGACAATTTTTCAACGTGAAGATATGCGTGATTTCTGGGACACCTAATGATCTGTGCTGGATCCACTTGTCGACAATCCTTTGGTTATAGTTCCAACTCGGAATCTAGGTCTACTTGAAATGACTAATTTTAAAGCAGGCTTTATATGAGAAATTATCTAGCTTTTTGTCACAGCAGATGGTATGGTAGCTTTTAGATCAGTTCAGTATATTATGTATGATGTTAATTTGGGCTGATTGTTTCGGATTTTTCATTTTAATGGGGCGAGTTCATTTTTTATTTTTTTGTATGTGCAAAAAACAACATACAAACAAAATAAGAATATCACACATAACTTACAAAAGACATCATAGACATACAAAACAACATAGAAAAAATCAAAAAAAAACTAGGCTGTATTTCTTCCTGAGGCTGATAAAGTAGTGATTTTTTTAACTTTTCCCACTTAATTTCCTATTTTAAAGCTTGGTATTGTTTCTATCTTTGTGCCTCATAACTAAAACTTCTTTCACACAACATTTTCATTACACTGCAAAGCATTTGTACATTGAGAAGAAGTTCTAGATACGGCTAAGAGATAGGCGAAAGGAAGCACCCACATGGTGTGGTGGTGAATGCTTTAGTCCCAGAAAGGGTAACAGCATGTTCGGCCCTACCGCAGACTCTAGCGGTTCAGAGTTCTGCAGATATTTCAGCAACGTCGTGATTATATTTCACATAATACTCTGCCATTAAAAGAAATATAGTGGGCAATGAATAAAAATTGAGTAAATTGCAATTTATAACACAGCTTCAGCTTAACTGGGTTGATGCCAATTTGTGCTCCCCAGGTCAATCCCGTTGGCGGTGATTGCTGATAGTGCTTATAGGTCAATAACACGGCTGAGAGGCAGCTGAAGCATAGGACCCACATGGTGTGGTGATAAACGCGTTAACCACCGGAATCAGAACAGCGTGTTCGGTCCCTGCCGCAGGCGCCAGCGGTCCGGAGGTTTACAAATATCTCAGCAACGTTGTGGTTCTAGATGCAACTTTGATTCCTTCCCAGTAACATTTATGGTAAAATTCCGCATCTGACGAACCTCAACGACTTTCTCGGATTGCTTTTACAACTAAAGCAACGCTTATTTGTAGTTTTGTGTCTTAACAGCTATTGATTCTTTCTGTTCTAAACATTTCTTCGATCTTGATCACAGCAAGGAGAGTTCGATGTTCAGTTAGAAGACGATTTCCAACTTTCGTGCTATTATTTTCATCTTTACGAGTGCTTTTTTGTTGTCGTTAAATGTTGTGTTCAATTTTGATCCGTACATCATCGTTTTTCGCTCTATGGAAAGTCTAGATATGATATATTAACGCTCTATTATCACATCGATTGGTGCTGAACATTTGGGACACAGCTGCTTTCATCTATGCCAAGTATAGCTTTGCTCATATCTGATACTTGATATTTGAAGTGCCCATCCTCATTGGTGGTGCGGGCCACAGCATAATCACCACTTTTTGGAGACTTGCTGGTTAAGCCATTGCGGTTCCCTCCCTGGAATCCCGAGGTCAGCTTGGCCAAAATCTGCCCCAGGTCTTTACCACCACTGGCAGTCACAGGCCTTGTGGATCAGAACGAGATTTGCCACCATGCGACTTTGATACCAGAACGGTGGTAGATTCTGGAATTGGTCTTAGCTTTACTCCTAGCTAGGCTTCCCGATGGAAAAGCCGGACTTCTCAGCTTAGGAGAGTTTGCCGGGGTGACGAATCTCCCCGCTGTACATTGCAGCAGTCCAACACCTTGGAACACCTCCCAGCCACGATGAGGCCGTAAACCATTGGGGGGATTTACATATACAAGTAGTATTTGCACTCACGTTTCATGTGTTCGTACCATTCTTTTTGAAAAGGAGTTTCACATATGGTGAAATTTTTCTGTAATTATACTTTAATAGTCACCTTTTAAAATTCCTTCTTTTCTTTTATTCACATTGTATATACTTAGTGTCCGGCTTGCTTTGCAGAGAACTCAATTCAGAGCGCTCGTTCTCCGTTTCGACTAATCTGTAGCTTTTTTTGTCCGGTCACTGAGAAATCTAGTTTACTGGAACCGTCATTGTCGCGCAGTTTGTGCATTTTCAGACGATGCTTTTGTTATACGTATTGTCATTGGTGTGTTTGATTGTCGATGGCACGAATGGACAACCGAGTTGTCCAGCTAATACATTCACATGTGCGGATGGTTCGTGCATTCCAGAGGACTGGGTCGGTGATGGTGAAGCCGATTGTGATGACAGGTACCGGAAGTTGTAGTGATTAGGAAAGTGTTTTGAACAGAACGTGAAGCATTTTTGAAAAATTCTCTTGACTACTATTAAACTACCTATCTACGAGATGAAAACTTTGCTTCTAACCAAGCTTTTATTTAGAATCACGATTTTTGAACCTTTGCAAGCTGGTGGTAGAAAATTGGATAGGGTGTCAGCGGTGCTAGTTGGCCAGTGGAATACAGAGTAGTAGTTGGTCGGATTCGTCCTCTGTCCGCCAACTGTAGGTGGAATGCTCGACTTTGTATGACTTCGCCTCGCGGAACTTTTTCCGTAACTGCCGTGAATAACCTCGAGTTTGGGTTATAACAGTTTATAGCAATAATAACAATCCAATAATAACAGTATGGCGATATTTAGTTAGATGAAAGGATACGAGCAAGATTGAAATGAGTATAAGTGAAGCACTTGAAGGCAAACACTGGAGTTGGAGCACTGGAGGATACAGGAACTCGCACACACACAGTCTAGGATAGTGCTCCTCAGATTCCTTTTGTGATAAGTGGGCTTTTATAGAGGGAACTAGAGACAGTGCTCAGAGAGAGGTTCTAGTAGTTTCTCAGTTAGTACAATCTGATAGAGCTACTTGACGAAAGGGTTTGTGAAGTTTATTCAATAGCTTATACAGAGAGTACATGTGAAACAGCGCAACTGCTTGTGCGGAAAGCTGATTTGAAACGCTGCAGAAAGGTTTATACAAAAAGTTCATGTGAAAGAGGTGGAATAGCTTGTACGAAGGCTTTTACAGAAAATATTGGAGACGGTACAAAGACTTACACAGTACGGATGAATAGGTTTACGATAATTACAATTAAATAGTTTTAATTATTTACTGCCTACCCTTTTTAATTGTAAGGCATGGTGCGAAATATAACTTCGGCCTTAATTAGGTTCATTGTCGATTTGGGCTCTCCAGATCAATGCCGCTGACGGGTGATTGCTGGTGGCAGTGATCGAAAGAATTAGCTGAGAGACTGGCGAAACGAAGGACCTGCATGGCGTGGTGGTGAACGCGTTAGCCCCGGAAAGAGTAGTAGTAATAGGGTAATAGGATAGGTAATAGCCGGACACCTGCGGTTCGGAGTTTTCGAAATATCTCAGCATCGTTGTGCCTGTATTTCGCTTAATACCCTGCCGTAAAAATTGTAGTAGGCAAAATAAAAACAAAACATCATTTGAGAAATACTTACTATATCAGCTAACCACACTATGATCTTCGTTTATATTATCACTATATTTTCATCTTCGAGGGCACGTGTGGCGCAGTGGTTGGAGGCGCCAGTGGGACACACGTGGAATCGGTCACCACGCCCATGGCCCGCCAAACCTTTCATCCCTCCGGGGTCGGCAAATTGGTACCGGACTTGTCTAGGAGGATAGCAGAACTGGCCCGATACATCGGTAGGCCACGGCGAGTCATTGTAAAGGCCAGATATGCGTTCAATCACCTCCAGGGATACTTAATGAAGTCGAATGGATGGCGCATCCCTCAGGCCAGCGATTGATCAACGCCGAGAGCTTTATCCTTTTTAATCTTCGAAACGCTGTATTTTAACTTCTTCCTGAAAAAATAACGTGTGGTAATCAATGGGAGAAATGAACCGGATACAGCGCTCAACAACGCTGATAAATAGGCGGAAATGCCACAAAAATCGGCTCCCATGATTGATTAGTGAGTGTTGTTTAGTGTGGTTATCCTAGAATGAAGAGGATACGGTAGTTGCGTAAGTTTCTTGGCGCTTTATGACCGAATCTCGGTCAAGATGTGCGAATCGTGGAAACTCGAGCGTCTCATTTCTCATTTGGTGGCGTAATTTTCTGTGCAACGAAATCATGTCCTACTTATAGGTTTCTGGGGAAGTTGTCTCTTCTTTTTTCCCTATTCCTTTCTTCTTTCCTTTATCGGCCTATTTCAGCTCTGATGAAATGGGCAACATAGCAAATCGAACAAAACAGGAGGATCCGTTCGATGAAATTGTCACATTTCCTTCGCGTATGCAACAATCAAGTAAAGAACGACAACCAAGTAAATAAATCTAATCGTTGAAACTTATAAACACATAACATTTCTTCTCGACAAACAAAGGTTTCTTGAAGGACTGTGATGGACAGGCTTTTACTTAACGTATACATAAGCCTAGCGCGGTCCCCGACTAGTGCCGAAATTTTGGGACACGTTTGTATGCTTGACGTGAGGATTACGAACCGAAACGATGTGTCTGTAATGTTCATAACCTTCTACCAGTAATTATCCAACAATTTTATCCATAGTTTTCGACTTAACACGTGAAACCCTCACACGCCTACCAGGTGCCAACGAGAAGGATCTTTGGAATTTTTGTGAAGTCCACCATAATCATGAGGGTAATTGGGCACTAAAAACGAGGGTCACATCAATTTTGAAGAAAGCAATCTAATGGTGTTTAGAGGGATATTTGAAATGCCATCCTTCACATTGGCAATTCAAAACGTTGTTGATGACTTGTGTGCTAGTGATTGATGCACAACTTTTGAAACAGCTATTATTTAGGTACTGATGCTGCTGAAGATTGCCCGTCTGAACATCAACAACGTATAGATCAATGTGCTGAACCAGTGTTATTGTTCTTACACGATGTGAACGCTATTTATTTTGAAAATTCCAGTCTGCTATCAGACCAAGACATGTTGGTTATCGATTTATTGATCGTTTTTCCATTGTCCAGCTCCTCCTTATTTAATAAATTCTATTTCATATCGCAAATCTTCCAATCGCAAATAGACCTTAGGCGTCGAACAGTTTAATTTCGAGTATTTTTAAAACGATAGCGATAGAATTCCCCATTATGAGGCGATGAATATAAAGAAGAAAGGAGATGGTTGATGGCTATGACGAAGCAACAAAAACTTTAGGAAAACTCTAAGATGAAGTCGTCGTAGTGTTTCTTCTAATATTTGTGAATATTGCTGTTGCTCTAGAAATCGTCACATATGGGTGGCCCTTCTTGCCGTAATCGATCCTTTAACTGTTTTATCAACATAAATCGATAGTATTCATGACACTGATTTCCTTCTAGTACTCCTTATGCCATCGACTTTATTGATTTTTCATAAGCAAGACATTTCAGGCAAGCAAAAGTGCAAAAGGGATGCGACCTGATGCACGAGTATTCCATTTGTACTCAAGGCGCTTCGAAAGCGTGCACTGCCGACGAAGGCGTACATGCATGGAAAGAGGTGGGTCGTATCGGTCGATATCGACTGATTGAAATCGATATGTGATATTATACCTGTTGCTTTCCGATAACTTGTCTGCCATTTGTTTTCCATTCACTTTGCCTACCCGCAATCGCTTTCTGTAGCTCTGACTCCGTGCTAATGATTTTGAGGAAATCTTCGATGTTTTCATTCTTTCTCAAGTTGTTCCAGTCTTTGCTTTTACCATTCTATGCTGACCCGTACGTTAGCTAGTAAATCCATCTTTTGAAGAAGGAAGTGGCAGAGGAAAGGAAAAGCATATTGATTGAAGAATAGATAAAAAGTAGAACTTGAGTGACTTCGAAAAAGTTATTTAAAATCTTGGCTGGAAGCGAAGATTTGATGGGAAAATTTGAAAAAAGGCTCACCAAAAATTTCGCGCCTCTCCTCCTAAGACCAGGAAAAGTTAGGTTGTATTGTCTGTGAAACTAGGAGTTCTCTTACGACTACGTTGCAGCTGTGTCATCACGCCTAAAAATCAGCTGATAATCGATAATTATTGATTTAAGGTTGAAATGTACGCTTGTCAGTTATTGATTCCGGCCGTTCGAGAACATCACCAATGTTTCGGCAAAAAACGCGATCAAAAATGTGAGGTCAGGTGAGTGCTCGATCAATACGCATGAAAACAATTATAGCTCTTAACGTTGCAGAGTTCATGTGGTTCTTCAACTTTTTCTTCATGACTTTTTAACAAATACTTTTTCATTTGTCCTGTTCTCAGTTTAGCCAACCAAGAATAAGTTGAAATCGTCCAATTCGAAATTTTCCCATCCGATTTCCATGTCAGTAGCATAATTTTCAGCCCTCTGTTGCAACGTCGTAGGGGGTAGAGCTTCATAAAGAAAAAATGGGTTTTTGTAACAAAGCTGGATCTTTGAAGATGTCTTATAGTGAGGTGCATCAGCTTTCAATGATTTTTCTTTGGTCTGCTAATGACTTATTTATTTCGCAGATTTGATCCACTCGCGTCGCCTTTTTGTCGCCTTGTTACTTCCGTCGTTCAAGACGTCCACTGCACTCAAAAGTAGGTGAAGCCATAATTTCAACATTTTGGAAAGGTCTGGTGACGCAGCGAGATAGCGAGCATTTTGTACACTTGGACGGTTTCGTTTAATGAGCACCCATGTAAGAAGGAGCTACACTGTCTTCTAAAGGTCCATGAATTGATAGGAGGTTTGTCCCAGAAGCAAGAAAAGAGCAGAAGAGCATGAACCGTCCCAAATGGATCCACTGCCGCTTGGGCAACCATTAGTAAACCAAAACAGCAGAGCTTGAAAAAATCTAAAATGAAGTTTTTTTTCATGATCGGTCTTCACCCTTACAGTGCGGATCCCAACACCTGCACTCTATTCTTTCCCATGCATTCTTTGCCCAAGAAGGTCTTCGAACTCCGCGTTCGTGGGTTTTGCTGTAGCTCGCTGATTTTTGTCTTTGTCATGAATGCTATTGGTGGCCGAGTGGATTCTCCTTTGAGTTCTGTAATAGTGGTGTTAGAGCATTCCCACGCAAATGCGAGGAAATAAGTAGATCTTTGCCAAGTTTAATGCGAGTTTTCCGACTCTGGACGGATGGGAGACTTAGTGATCCCGGGCCGGGGTCGAGTCAACCTCATGATCGTTATAAACAGCGTCACTGCTACAGCGCTAGCCGTCCCTAACGAAAACATAAACAAGGTGTGAATAGTTGGTATCTGCTAGCCGAATGACGTCTGGATTTTCTACAGATTCAATAGTGGCTGCTCGGAACCTGCACTCGAAATACTGCAACCGATCATTGAAGAATCACAACATATCATTTCTTCACTGAGATGTCGTACAGTGGGCGAAATTCCTACCAGTACAGATGTGAGTTTTCAGTGACGTCATATTATTAATTTATCTAACAATGAAGTTTTTTGTTATTTTACGAATCCTTCGGCGATATTTTGTTAACGTCATCATCACACACTTAGATTTTTGTAATACTCAAAAAAGATGTGATCGTTGTTCTTTTTTATCACAAAGAAATTTTTTAACTATTCTGATATTAAGCAATGTTTAACTTTTAAAACATCTTCAAAAAACTGCAGATAAAATAGTTAACAATTATTAGCCAATTCACTAAGCAGATGGACACAGTCGAACCAAAAGCTGTAGAAGAGGACCGCGCAGGCACCACTCTTCCTACTGTAACCAACAGAGCGAGCCCTGTAACCATTCCGATCACAACCAGAAGGACTATTGGCCCGGTGGTACAGATTACTGCCGAGATTCCCGCAGTGGAAGTCAGTACCGTATCTGTAGCGGCAGACAGTGGAGGACGGGTAGGGTTTAATTAGTAAATGTTGTTCTGTCAAATTACACTTCTAACGCAGCCTTTTGGTGCCGTGCCATATTTCTAGCCTGTAGTATTACTATAAGAATTCTGTAACAACATAATATATGGGGTGGAGAAAATGTATTGGTTAGGTATATCGTGCAATAGAACATGCATGGTCGCGTTTTCTTCTACCCACCGGGCCAACCAAGTCCCTTATCTTTCCGGATTCGACAAATTGTTGGCAGACTTCTCTAGGGAAAGCTTCTTTAGATCAAAAGAAAATGCAGAGAGAATTCTATGGTGAGAATCTGGAAACGACCTAACGAGGTAACCCAGGGATTTCAGGGAGAACCAAATCGGAAGAGGACGGAATCCTCAACTTGCAGCCGAAGATGTTCGTTGATTACGGATGCGAGTATATGAATCGCTGCGATCTGGAGTCCGTACAATATGTTATATACAATTGATCGAGTAGATAAATAAATAAACGGACGATTAACAGCAACACACCGATTACTGTAGACACAAATAACTCGCGCCAACTAATCCATACTATATCACCGCTCTTTTTTTGATTAACTCCAATTATCCAGTGAGCAACCTAAGGCTGTCCATCATTATTATGTGAGGCTCGATACTAGCGACATTACTCAGTATGATTAAGGAACTAAAAATCAATATGAGTGATGCGGTGAACTCACTGTACTACATCTACGACGTCTGTTCGTCATCCTACTCCAAATCACCGTTCGCGGCGGTCGCGGAGAAAATCTGCGGCAGGCAGGACGAGATTGCCAAGTACAGCGACTGTTATCAGAACACGTTGGAGAAATCGAAGTGTAGAATACGAGTGAGTCGAATGTAGTAAATTCTTGATCAGCTTCTTCTTTGTAACCTAGTCAATGAATAACTTTCTTGCAGGAGGCGAAAACTGAATGTGAAGCATTGGAAGCGTTTAATGCTAACCTTGACTGTGCCATAGTGACAATGAACGACGTCTGTGAGGTGGATGCACAAAATTTCGTGAGTTTAATTATCTTCTTGGCAAGGAAGTTAGCCAGTTTCCACTAGAAATGTTTTTACAATTGTTTGGGTGGTTCAGTGTTCATCTTGGAGAATCACAGCGGTCCATCCACGGACGTTGTGAATAGAGGGGAAGCTCTCTATTTAGTAAGTACGCTTTTACCACGGCATCTGTTCACATACTTCGTCTTTTAGTACTAGGCTTCCAAATGGGAGTATTGAATCCTTCCTCTCTAGGTCATGTTTTGATAGTGTAGACGATAAAAGGAAAGCAATAACAAAGGAGGATGATTTCATAGAACCTGTTGAAGTCAATATAACATGAAAAAACATAAGTATCTGCTTTAATGAAGCTCTATAATGATTACTTGTGAAAACAGTGATGCTTATTATCAACTTCGATATCGATTTTTTAGGTTATCGAGTTACAAGAGATCATCAACGATATGGTCATCGAGAGGAAATGTTTAGAGTCACATGAAAAAGAAAATGCAGCTCCGACAATAGCAGCAAACGAGGACGAGTTCCGCCTTGAAACAAAGTTGACACGTTGTGCAGACGAGCAGGTGCGAGTTAAACCTTAGGTACTAGCTCGAGAAAAGGGAGAAGTGAGGAGAATCTGAGAAAGAAGGAAAATGAGGAGTTTAAGCAGGAAGGCGGCAAGAGGTATTATTATTTCACCATATTCTCCTTTTATTAGTTGGTCTCGGTTAGCCTGGATGGAGGTCGAACCAAGGCCTTAGGGCCTATTGAACGGCACCACTACTCTGCAGTATTCGTGCCAGTCATATTCTCATTTTTTTAAAATTTAATTCCCATTATAAATAAACAACATAGAATTTCCAAGTAGTTCATACTTTAGCAGTTATTTGCAGTGCCGTTTTATTAATAACATTTAAAAACAACGGATTATGCTTCACATGTTCTGAATGGAAGTAGTCCACTTGAATAGTTTCTTCCCATGGAAAGTTCTTTTCCTCTGCGTTAGTATTTACATCAAGGAAATGGCCGAAGAACTTTCCTTGAACGGGATAACATGGATCTCAACTGTTCGTGTCTTCATCAATTATCTTTTATTTCTACCACAAAAGGTTGCTGGGTAAATTTATTGGAAAGTTTTCGACATAGATTCTCATCGTAGTAATTCTTAACACGAACGAGGTGTGCGTTCGGCCCCGCTCCGGGCTCATCGAGCCTCTCACCTCTCCGGGATCTGGAAATTGGTGCCGGACTTGTCTGGGGAAATTCCACTCTCTGCAATCCGAGTGGGAACGCTCTAGCGGGCTCTCTCAGCACTGAAGGGAGAATCGACTCGACCAGCATCCAACAACATTCTTGATGAAAGAAAAATCTTTAAGCAGCAACCGAAGCAGAAAATGAATCGAATGTGAGAAGTGCTGAGATCCGCACAATCGACGTGAAAGATGGGTCGTATACAAAATAAAAAAGCAACTCTAAAGGATTTTCTTTGGCTTTAAACAGTTGGATGGAAAGTCAGTAGTTCGTTTCTGTGTTAATCGCCATTGTCGCTCCAACAATAATCGCGCAGTATCTGCGCCTCTTCGAATCTCGTGTTGTTTCATCTACCCTCTCATACCTTGATCGATTAGAGCGCATCTCGATGACCGGTTGTTCACAATATTGGAAAACTATTGTAGGGACCTCCCAAGCGGTATTATGCAGTCAAACGCATACTGTCAAAGAATGTTCTCGTACTGGTGGAGAAAAAAAATGTAATGTGATTGTCTCATCAGAATTTGACGGAATCGCTTACCATAATTTCGTATTCAGCACGTTCTGCTGCATCCGCTTTGGTCATTCATTTGTTGCCGTTCACATAGGTGAAGAGAAATTTTCCGAAAAAACTGAATAGGACAAAAAAAAAAGTAGGACAAAAATGACTTCAACTTATTGGTCGCTTGAAAACTGAAAAGAGGAGCAGAGATTTTCAGTATAAAATGGAAAAGTTATCAATAACAAGTGGAAATACGAAGGGTACGCAGCTGTCATTTCAGGAAAATAGCGCTCTTGCATGTCTTGTGGAACTGTTGGAGATCAACAAGCAGCTAACACAATTCCAACATCTCAACTTCTTACTTGAAGTATTTTTTTGCTCTATTTTATTCTTTTTTTTTTGAAGTACAACATTTTTTATATATGATCGCAGCGATTGATTCGTTGGCACGGGTAGAGTAACACTTAGTGATCCGACGTGAGTTGGTTTCCACTCACATGTTGTGAAAACAACAACTGCCTTCGACTTTAAACCAATATATTCCAGCTCTAAATGAATTCTATTCATTGGAATAAAAAGCACTAGAATCTAGCAGCTTGACCTGCAACATAGTCTTTTATCTTAACTCTTTTACTTACTACCTTTTTCTTCTTAATGGCAGGGTATGTTGTGAAATATAACTCGTATGAAGTGCTGAGATATTTGCAAAACTCCGGACCACAGGTGTATGCAGTGGGGAACGAACACGCGCTGTTGTCTTGACCGGGGAGCAGCGCACTTCACCACTACACCATCCGGGTCATAGTCTTTTATGTCTCACCAATTTAAAATCCTAATTCTCTGGTACCCACCAAACTTATCGTGTGCAGTTTTTCCATTGCAGCTCCAGTTGTTAATATTGGTTAGAAGGAACTACCCACTACATTCAAGAGTAATTTGGAATTACTTAAAAGGAAACATTGTTAGAAAGATATTTGTTCCCCACCGCAGACACCTGCGGTCCGGAGTTTTGCAAATATCTCAGCATCATTGAAGTTATATTTCGCAATATACCCTGCCATTAAAAAGAGCAGGCAATAAATCAAACGATTAACATTGTTAGAAAGCATTTAAAGGTAAACGTTGTAGATTGCCACCGAGAACTCGTCGGTGGTGGCTCATATCTGTGAACTGTACAGCAAGTACGAAAAATGTCTCCATGCCAGCGTTTTCAAAAATCAGATGCGATGTTCGTTTGCTAGTCCGCTCAACACATTGGCCAGGTTTGTCTCCTTAATGAATTTCGTGATTAAAGTAATTATTATGGATTCATCGACGGATCTCTTTCATAGAGGGAACTCATGCCGGTTAGTCACGAGGCAAGGTGGCGAGTTCACGGGTGGCGGATAGGGAGTTAACCGCAACCCAAAACCGACCTTTGCTTCTCTGAGACGAATTCGGCCAAAAGCGTGCAATCAAGTGACAGGGAAGTGTATGGTAGGCGATGAGAAGTCTTCTCCAAGAGATAAGCTCTTTGTCTAGCATAGACGGTGAACATAGTGAAATAAGTGGACCGCATTCCCTTGACCCTGAAAGAGCCTCCGATATTGCAGCACTGGCTATTATGAGTACGAAGAGACTGATAAAGTCTTAAGGCAATTCTATGCGGCCAAAATCGCAAGCGGCTAAAGTCACGATCTATACCTACGATGCACTCACATTTCCATCTGAGTCCTCGGTGGCAGATTTGATCGTAGAAGCAAAAATGCTTCAGTGGAAGGTATCATAACGAAATAGACCACATCTTAGTAAATGGAGAGTTTTGCCTAATCGTTGTCGCTGTTATCCCAAAATTCTACGCGTGATCAGACCATCGTCTCCTTCGTGCAAGATTCTATTTCTCGCGAATAGGATAAAAAGCCGCTAAATTCAAAAACCGAAATCCCAAAACCACTATAAACTGGGACTTATTCAATTCATTAGTCGGCTGTTGTGAAGACGCTGTTCTCAACAATATCGACGAGAAATACGATCGGCTCATTTAACATCCTCACATTAGGGCTGTGAAAGCTGATAGTTTGAAATTTATCAAGAGTCATCACTCTCCAGAAAAAAACCGCTGGAGTTACTAATAACTGCAAATTCACGTCCGAACTTGCAACACAGTTTACAAATGCGATAAAATGAGGTCTTAAAGAAGGGAGAGCCGCAGCTATGGCCGAAGCTGCAGAGACTGGAAAAAGTAGTGGCAAGGTCCACCGAAATTCCTCCAACTACAGAATCAAGATGATTGCACTCCGACGCCCAGGCGGAGAAGTCAGCGCTTCCAGAAGCGCAATGGAGAGAATCATCTTCAAATATTTTCAGTAGCCATCTCATCCTTCCTTCATATGAAATAAAGGAGGATGGATATGTCGTACCACCGGTTCTCCCTTCCGAAATCCAACATAATATTTCGTTGGTGAAAAATCAAACAACACCAAGTTTGGACAGGGTAGGACCGGAACACCTGAGGAACTTCCCGCTAGTCCTCATAAACATACTTTCTCGGCTCTTCACACGTTACCTATCTGAATTCAAGGTCCTTACTCAGTGGAAGACCAACAAGAGTGTGCTTTTGTTTATCGGCAACTACCACCAAATCTGCTTGTTGTCTGTCGTCTACGAGCTCTTAACTCGAGTTGCTCCAAACAGGTTTGACAGAACACTGGATGAAGGAAAGCCATGTGAGCAAGCAGTATTTCGAAAATGATTCTGTAATATTGACTGCATCCACAAAATAACGACGCTCATTGGAGTATCGTGAGAGTCCAAGAGACCGCTCTGTCTCACCTTCATCGATTTAAAGAACGCCTTTGACTTAATAGAAATAGAAGCAGTCATGGAAGCACTTGTTAGTCAAGGAGTCCCTATTCAGTATATAAAGAGTCTTCGTGAGCTGTACAAAAATTTCACAACCAAGATATCATCATTCTACAACGGTATTAACATTGATGTCAAAAGAGGGGATAGGCGAAGACATCTCGCCAAAATTATTCACCACTACCCTCAAGAACGTCATGCAAACATTGGGATGAGACAACATGGGAGTGAAGATCGATGGTCGGAAATTGCACCACTATCGCTTTGCTGATGACACTATTCTTATGACACTGAGCATTAATCAGCAGTACGAATGCTTTCTGAGTTTGATAACCCCTATGGAAAGAATGGTCTTCGATTAAATCTCACAAAACGGATGTTCATGAGGAATGGATTGATTACGGATGACGCACTGGAGCTCAGTGGAATGATTATCTGTAAATGCTTTAGCTACATCTATCTAGATCACGAAGTCAACATCATGAAAGACTTGGCTCCACAGTTGAACAGTGGGAAGCGAGCAACTTGGGAAGCTTTTAAAAGCGTCCAAAGGTGCAGAGCGGAGAAAACAATGAACATCCGTCCGAATTTATGCCCACCTTTTCGACTCCACAATTCTTCCTCCTTTAACGTGTGCGTCAGAAACGTGGTCGCTACATAAGCGGGATGAAAGATCACCCAGCGTTATAGAACATGCAGTAAGAGGAATGATGCTAGTAGTATCCTGTATCACACAAATAAGGGAAGGCACTGCATCTCCAAGCCACGTCAATTATCAAAAATCAAAGACTGCGTTATGTACCGCAAATTCTTGAAGGTAACGTGGACTGGACAATACGTAATTAACGACGACCAATGGACAATAGTCGTTAGCTAATGGATTCCTTGGGATGTCAAATGTGCTGCAGTGACACAACCGACCCAGTTGTCAAAGTTCTTCACGAAAACTCTAGAAAAAAAATATGATGTCCAACAAGTCCCCAGAGGGAGCAAAATCACTGGGCTACTCTTGTACGCGACAACTAGAACTGACAGATTCACTGGTGCCCGCTGTAGTCACTCGACGAGCAACGGAATGACAGGAGATGCAGGTAATTATGGTTTCTTAGATAGCCAAACCTCACAAGCCGAAGGAACCAAATACTTCACCTATTCGTTTCTTTGCCTTTCTGCCGTGGTCAATGGAGGCAGTCTTTGGTCATGTATGGATTCAGCTAAGGCTTGTAGAACGGCCATCTTTTTTGATCACATATGAGTTGAATTTTGTCGGGGTGCGGCATTTCATAGGTTTTTCGTAGAGCACTATACTGTGGCCGTTTCCATTACCATTACCGAAAGTAGTCACCTTCCCTTGTCAATCAGAAAAAAGGTGACTTCCTTACAGCGAACGATTCCTTTACGATTGTAATGATTCCATTTGCGACTTCAATTTAGTCAACTGACGACCATTCGAAAACGAATTGATATACCGGATCCTAGAGAGAAACTGCAATATAAAGGGATGAAATCTTTCGGCGTTAATCAATTCTTGAAGGTTGCCTCATGCTTTTGAATTCATCGAAAATCGTCAAGGGTGATTGATTGCATGTATGGCCATTGCAATAAGTTGGGGTGACCTACCCATATATTATCTCGGTCCCGCTATCCTCTCAAACGAGTCTGATACAAATTTTTTGAGTCCGGGGGATGAAAGGCTTGGTCAGCACAGGAGGCAATATAGAACCAACGACTACGTGTATATTTCAGGCCACCGATAACCACTGCGCTAGACACACCCGTAATATCTATGTAATCAGATCACTATTTTATTGAAAAAAAAACAATCAGGTCTGGGACAGAACGACAGCGCAGCACGCTTTGCAAACACTTCAGTCGACCTATATTCATGAGTCATGAGCTCAAAAGCACAATTTCCATTCGATCGGTATTTCACTAATTGGTAGAGCTTTTCCAGTGATTCTTAGATTACTGTAGAAAATCGTTTCCAGATTTTTACTTTACGTATTTATACAAGTCGTTGTGGATCGACGAAAATAAGCTTTCGAAACTACACTGGCATTGGCTTACTCCTAGCTGAGATAATATACTAGATTAGGCAAGACGGCAGAGAAAATCATACAAATTCGAGTCGTCTAGTGGAGCATGGTTGACCGATTCGTTTGTTGATGTTAGGAAAACTGCTCGACCATGTCAAAAACTTTGTTGATGAGTTGTTTCGAGTGTGAAAGAAGTTTACTGGAGCTACGCTGTATAATAGCGCTGAAGGGAAGTTACTGGTGTCCGTGCATGTCTCTGGTTCGATCAACATGCGGATATTCAGCTTAGCCGATTCCTCCTTTCTCATGAACTCACTAAATTAGTGTTATGCCTTTCTGAGAATGACAATATATTGACTTAGGTATTTTGAGGAAAGCGGCACAACGTAGCATTGATAAGCTAGTACAAGGTGGTTACAAAACTTTCTTGTGGCTATTGTACGGTATTCCGCTTCAGTGGATTCAACTCCATTGCTACATGAAGGTCCCGCAGCAAGAAGAAACAGGTGATGTAGGCACTTGACTCGAATCACTGCAGCTCTAAAGAAGACGAGGATGCCGAAACCTTTGTCACAACAGAATTTTGTATTCAACCTCGTGTTATCTTACCAATACAACCACTGTGTATTTCTGCTGCTGTTAAATCAAAGCCATTTTTCTATACCTTTAAATAATTTTCATTCTTCATCATTTCATTCCATTTTTTTGTTTCAGGATCGGTCTTGCACCAATCTGTTCAATTGACTCTCGACCGTTGCTTTCCTCCCATAGGGATTGCTTAGTTAAGCTGGCTGCACAAGCTGGAGAGACGTCTAACTGCCAAAGTGGCCTTGCAGGTTTAGGAAGCACCGTAAACATGATGATGCAGGTGAGGAAACCTAGGTTGGTAAAGTAAAATAAGCGTAGTTTTTAGTCCATATTTTTATTTAAAGTTTCCATTTAGGGCTCAGTTTACTCTTTTCGCTTATTTACTCATTAGATAGTGGAAAAAAACCATAGAATTGAATCATTCTACTGTTCCTACTGTTTTTCTTATTGACGTAGGTGCTGTTGTTGTCGCTGTGATTGTTGCCCTTCTTTCCGCTACAGTTGCTGTTATTTTCGTTTCTGCCGTTATTATTTTCCATTCCTGTGATTATAGGGAATCCACAGCGAGGCGCTTCTTTGTAAGTCGTTCTATCTCATTCGCAACACTTTTGATTGTGGTGAAAGAGCCGTTCAGCAACAATGCGATGCTAAAGCTCTAGTGGATCTCAGAACACTCAAAAACCAGGTGATCTCCTTTTTTCCTTTTTTTCAGGAAATAATTGTGCATTTAATACGTACCACTATGTCTAATTATTGTTGTAGTGGATTCGGAGATCCACGCAACCATATGGAAACATTTCGCTTCTTCAAAGACGTGCCCTGTTTAGAAACCATATTCCTTCAATATTCAAACACTTGTTTTATTTATCACTTTAAATTTAAAAAAAGTATAGAGCTCTCAGTGCTGATCAATTTCTGAGGGAAGCGCCATGCATTCGACTTCATTATGCATCGTTGGGGTGACTGAATGCATATCTGGCCTTTATAATAACTCGCAGTGGCCCACCGATGTATTGAGCCAGTGGTGCTATCCTCCCAGAGATGTCTGGTACCAATTCTTCGACCCCGGAGGGATGGAGGGGCCGGATGCCTCCGATCGCTGCACCCCACCCGCTTTCTCTTTGCATTTCAAATTCGATAAACCTTAAACTATTAAAGACCAAAATTTAATACACTTTAAATCCAGATGAGTCAAATCGGCGAGGAAGAAGGCTGTCCGCATGAACCACCGGCGAATCTCGACGAAATTATTGCTCGTCCAGTTAAACGGCCGACACTGCCACCAATTACGAGGTAAATGAATTGACCACAAAGTCGGTAGAGAAAAATAACAAATATGTCCTTCGGATTCCGACTTTTCTTTGGATTTCATGATTCAACCCTGGTCACTTACTCTTCATTCTTTGTTTGGCGCACCGTGTTAAGTCAAATTCTCTGGTGAAAGAAGTCAGGGAATCATGTTAGAAGTATCTTCGGAAAGTCACCAAAGCATTTGGGAAGGGAGTGTGTTCGAACAATGTTGTCCTAACGCTTCTTGCATTTCTTCCCGATTTCAATCATAAAACTTTATTTAGGCGGCCAGGTGTGGCACCAATGGCTCGTCCACTCAATACCGCGGTACCACTAATGTCCAATACCCCGTCAGTGAAATTCCCATCTTCATCTTCGCCACCACCTCATGTGCCAGTCACCTGTAGTTCAGAACAACAGAAGAGGTAAGTGACATGTTATTGAAACGGCTTAAGCTAGAAACCTAGTCCTGGAAATGTAAGATGAAGCTTATCCTTGTCGTCCTTCCATAATCAAAGGGATTTTGTCTTCATATTTCTTGAATTTCATCCTCAAACACTTATAGGTTCGAGCAATGTGTACGACCATTGACCGCTTTCCAACCTCATCCATTGTCGGTAATTAAAGTACCTAGGCAAATCGAAGACGCTTGTGAAGAGTTCAAAAAGTTCCAGGTGCGAAGAGCTTTTAATAGAAGACGATAGATTATTCGTAGACTAAGCGAAGTGCACTGACATCGATTAGTTAGGGGTCAATGGAATCCACAGTATTGTCTGCAATTGCAGACCTGTGTCACCGACGTCACGTGCCATCCGTTATGGGCTAAAGGCATGACGGCTATGTTTTCTTATGCTTGCGGTGAAGGCAATGAACAGTACAAAAAGGTCAGATCTTCATTGAAGTACTCTAAGAGGTTTTTTTTCTAAATTCTATCCATCAAGTGCTCACTTTCGAAATTCGTGGTAATTGCTGAAAAATCTCATCGGTAACGTATGTGTTAACAATTTATAATTACAATGCATTAATTTCGAGTTGGTTTTATCGCTAGTGATTCTAAGTTGCGTGGAGCGTGTGAGTTCTCGCGCGATGCGGTCATTACACACTAATTGACGCTACCAGATTTTTCAGCAATTACACAATTTACGTCGGTCGGGTGGAGCTGGTTTCGGCTCACTGCTCGTGTTTTTACGGCTAGTCCTACTAATAGTAGATATTTTGAGCAGTTTGAAGGATTTATAGGGAAATTGTGATGGATCATCCCAACGGTTTACCGCTTCATCGTGGCTGGGACGTGTTTCTAAGTGTCTGATTGCGATGTACAGCGGGGGTTCATCTTCCAGCGTGGTCTCCCATGCTGAGAAAGAGTTCGGCGTTCCCATCAGAAAGCCCAGCTAAGAGTAAACCAATACCAGGATTCACCACCGTCCTGTTATTAAACTAGTCGCGTGGCGGCAAATCTCTCTCTGATCCATAAGGGCGGCGACCGCCTGTTGTGACGAGAACCTGGGACAGACTTTGGCCAGGCTGTCCTCTGGATTCCAGGGAAAGACGATTGGTAAACTAGCAAAACTCCGAAAAATGGAGAATGTGTTGGGACACGCACAACCAGTGAGGACGGGCCCTCTAAGTATCCAAGTATTATGATGAATACCAGCGGATCTGTTTTGCAACGCATTAACCAGTGGAAGATGGAAAGTATGGTAGTCAACTGGGCGAAAATAGATGAAGAAGCAGAAGCTGACTGCTAATAAGAGAATTGTATAAGTCTTTCTAAGGGATAGTGAGCTGATGCTAACAGACGACGACCTAAGCTGGTTTTTCTACGTATATATCTATATTTATCATATCTACATTAACTGGCAATGGCGCGTGTACATGTCCTCTGAGCCCCACAAATTCATTCCCTTTATTGTCGTAACCCTTATATTGTCAATGGGGTCAGCCAAATGTAAGAGTTCCGCTACAGCTTGTGAATCTGTTATTCTCTCTCCTCATTCACATACTGAGAGTGTATGATCACGGTTTCCCTGGAGTATTCATAGGTAACTTGTTAAGCTTTCTTGTAGTTGTTTTTTCTCTTCCCACTACATGATTCCAGCCGAACTAAGAGTAGGTTGGATTCAACATACACGAAATACGTATGGTGAATCCTCACCTACATCTGGGGGCAAGTATCCGCTGCATTTTGGACGGTCTGCGCAACCTCGTAACTTGTCACTGTGAGATCTCTCACATGACACTACTCTGTAAGCGATTCCTACATGAATGACAATCATGACGGTTGCCACACAACTAGAATAGAATAAGATTTTAATGGAATTAACAAGAAATTGCGGACTGGTAATAGACATCGGCGAGATCCTATGAAATATTATAAAAATTCTTTACATTACCTTCACTGTTTCAAAATTTCTCCTTTCAGATACGTCAATGTCTCCGAAAGATCTCCGCCGAGGACACCGTGAAGGAGTGTGTGACGAAGTTCTCACGTGGTGCACCAACTCAAGCATGTCTGTCGGCTAACGCTCTACTCACTTGCGCTATTGCTCCAATTCAGGCACTATTATAACGTTTTTTCATAAGTTCTGGACTCTTCCAACTGTTAATCACTCCAGACTGAATGCAACGACGAGACATCCGATTGGGTGATTAAATATGTGACGAAATTCGCCACTGCTATTGATTCTCGGTGCAAACTGGCCAGCCAGCTACCGAGTAAGTAGTATTTCTAATTGGTTTATTTCCTACTTACTTACCTCCTTAGATACTCAGATTATCCACGTTCACATGTAGAGTCGTTGTCAGCACTTTTTCACTTATTTTTACTGTTTCGAAAAAAACATCTACGACTATAATTCGTCTTTTCTATGAGCTTGACTGAATTAAGATTCTGTCATGTTTTGTCTACACTTTGTCTACTTACAGTGCTGAACGAACGTATTTCCTCAGGTATCTCGAAGGAAACACGGTAGAACGTCACCATGTCTTGACTGTAAGCAGTGAGCAATCCTTGTGGTCTAAAAGATATTTTCTGCTCTGTGAAACGGATCCTTCTGGAATAGCAGCGATTCTTGTGAAATGGTCGATCAATGGCTCGCGGACGACATAATAAGCAGAGCTTCTCCTTTTTGAAGTGGTTGAAAAGTGCAGTTTTCTTCTGTGAGGTTTAGATGGGAGAACAAGCTTGTTTATAGGTAGTGGCGAATATCACAACAATAGTGAACAGTGTTCAGTGGGCTACGTCGACATCTGCGTGGTGCCATACGTAGAAGCATAATAGGATACGATTTTAAGCATCTACCAATTTATTTGAGATACACCGTACATTTGACTCCCTTAGGCAACGCAGAGGTGATTGAATGCATATTTAGCATATATAGCGAGCCTAACGATGTATGAACTCAGTGTTTCTTATCCTACCAAACAAGCCAGTTTGCCTACATCGTCGGGATGCTAGTACTCGGAGAGCCTTTGAAGAGGTCGAGGCAATGACTAGGTATATAATACTGCAGAGCTTCCCCAAGCACTGTCCTATACACCTGCAGTACAGTTCGTGGGATTCTGTGCGCAAAATATGCATTCAGTCGCTTATTTCACCATAGTCCATGAAAATTATCTGATTTAGATAACTCATCTTTATGAATATTATGAGTTCTAGCATAATTTCATTTTCATGTGCCCCTGTATGATTGTGTCAAAACGGAGATTATCGCTATAGATGCTCACCGACACCAACTCTGAAGGCGGTTCGTTATGTCTGAACCGACTTTGACCCAGGAATGCAATCCCTGTCATGCTTTCGTTTCTAATGGTTTTCCAATCCTTTAAAGGAATAAAAAAAGCTAATGCTCTCAACGTTGATCAATCTCTGAGAGATTTTCAGCGCGATGCCTTAGACTTTGTTGAGTATCGTTATAGATGAATGAATGCATATCTGGCCTATACAGTGACAAATGCTGGAATGCCGATGTATCATGTCAGTGCTGCTATTTTCCAGACATGTCTGGTACCAATTTGCCGACCCGGAGCTATGGAAGCCTTAGTTAGCCTGGATCACGCGCCCGAATCCATATGTAGTACAGAGCACCTCTAACCATACCAATCCATTTAAGAAAAGATATGTCGTGGTTTTCAGCTTAGATTACTCTGTCGGTAAAAGTGAAGGGTGTATGAACACACAACTCTACATTATGTACCTTGACACCGCGATGAGCTTGTAGTCAATCGTTGGAAGGAAGTTGCGACTGCCATCTTTGGACTTTACTCAAATATCGTGTGCTTGGGAAAGAAGTTCTTTCAGAAGTGGCGAGTTTTAAATTATTTTGGCTTTGTGCTCATACCGTTGAGCTTACACGAGATTGACAGATATGTTTACTCTGCTAACGTTTCGACGTCCTTGTCCTCATCAGATCCAACGATCCTTGTCGATGGTCCACAGTCGTTCCTCTTCTCGAATTGGCATCTTGATCTCGCATCGAACCGGATCTTCTTCAGTGGAGATCTTCCTCTGATAAAAACAAAGACGTCGAAACGTTAGTAGAATAAAGATCTTTGACCTTGTGTAAGCTCAGCAATATAAGCAGATGTTGATTGTTTTATTACTTACTTGATACTTGATACTTGAATGGCCCGTCTTCACTGGTTGTGCGGGCCCCAGCATAATCTCCATTTTTTGGAGATTTGCTGGTTAAGCCATTTTGGCTCGCTGGAATCTCGAGGTTAGCCTGGCCAAAGTCTGCCTCAGGTCTTCACCACCACAGGCAATCGAGGCTCTTGTGGATAGTTTGATACCAGGACGGTGATATCAAACTGGTGGTATCAAACCTGGTATTGGTTTACCCTTAGCTAGGCTTCCTGATGGAAACGCCGGACGTCTTAGCCTGGAAGACCCTGCCAGGGATGAATCCCCCGCTGTACATCGCAGTCCGACACCCAGGAACACCTCTCAGCCACGATGAGGCGGTAAACCATTGGGAGGATTATTTTATTACCGAGGTTAAATGACGGTCGGTTTTAAAATTATTATTTTGCTTTTGTTATTCACTGCATTCAAGTTTCACAATGAAGAGGACTCAATAGTATAGCATTCTGATCGAACTTCTCCAAAGATTGATGGCCAAAACTTTTTACTGCTCAAAATGCAGTTTTTGACTACTCGCGCACGACTCGAAAGTGAATTCATGTTGCATTGCTCTTTGTTCCAATTTTCGCTTCCTTTCTTTTATAAAGTTTTTATTGCTGATTTCTGATGAGACGAATTTGTCCAGTAGGCACTTAGCTAAGAAAGCGATCCTGCTGGAGGCAGCCACTCCAGAGTAGCTAGAAAGTGGTGAGTACTTCTATTACCATCTCTTCTTTTCAGTTGGTAAGGTAATCGGTGTGGGTTGCACGCCTGAGGAGGAGGCGATCATCGACCACTGTGCAGCGCCACTGAACGACATTGGTAGTCGAATGGAAGAACTCTTCCAGGGCGGACTTCAAGCCATGATCAAGAACGTGAACAGTCTCGCACCGGTGTTCGCTGGCGGGTGCAATTTGACTGGTCGGTCATCGTTGATCAATTCATCAATTCCTAAATCCATAATTTCGTTGCCTTTGTATTTCTAAAGTAGTCTTTTGGGAATATTGAAGAGCCCAAACACTGAGGATGTGAATAGAATACCTTAAAAAAGGATTTTAAAATGTATTTTAGACGAATTCCGTCAATGTGCATCGTTTCTGTTGTCCGGACGTACGCCTTGCGTCATCTCATCCTGTATGATACTTGCCGGCGAGGGCATTTGCGATCAGCCAGACCCCACCCAAGCCATTGACGACAATCTGAGCTGTGTATTTGCTCAGGTGAAGCGATTAGTTTCTTAGGAATTGTTTGGTTCCATTCTGATCTACCACAAGAAAATCGAGTGTTTCCAAGAAGCATCATGTGTGTTGTCCATTGCAGAATAAAATGATAAAGAAGTTTTCATGTTCCATTTTTTTCGTAGAGCCTAAGGAAATTTAGTCTAAAACCGAACAATATACATTATCCGTCCTTAGAAAATACGTGGTCCTTTGCGCTTCAGTTCTATTCGTTTTCAAACAACCGACTTTCATGGGGATCGTTGGACTTGTAGTTGGTTCGATTACTATTAAAAATCTGTCGTCTTTCCTCTTCTTAACATGTTATGTGTTGGTCAGGCATCGTTTTCCATTCTTCCGAGATAGCCGTGCTAGAACATTCCCAGATTTCAACACACCTATCTTTTGGATTGCAGCGCTCTCGTTATGCGATTAGGACTCCACCGTTCCAACATCGGTAGCGATTCTCTCAATTAATCGATAGACTAATGAAGATAGTCAAATGTCAACAATATTATTAATAGGTAAAAAGTGTAGTCAAGATTTTTTTGACAGGTTGAATGGGAATTGTAGGGACTACAATATGCAGAAGAAGTTGGATAGGGTTGCTTGAGAGCTTTGAATGAGGCAGTGGAAGCGAGAATCGCTTGTTGGTTGACAGGCGATTCTATTCAGAGATTTACTCCATTTCGTTACTCATCTAACGACAGAGATACCAACGGTTGGAATAAACCAATTTTCAAGATGTTGTCTGGAATGTTGATCAATTTAATATTTTGCTCCTGTAAATTTCTCTTATAAGTTTTCATGCAGGCATAGATCAGTCCAGATGCGTGGCATCGTTTTCAGGTTCAAGAGCCATCGTTCGCCAGATGTATTCGTTCAACACTCTCCACAGTGAAACAATTCACATTGAGCTCATTCCGTAATGTGTTGCCCAGGTTCGTTGATTGCACTGAGGAACTCGTACGCGCCAAATGTGGAGACACGCCTATCAAGGTATTTTCGCCGTTTATTTTCCTATTGGAAATCAAACTATAAAGCAATCCTTTCTAGATTCTTCGGGCCATGTCCTCCCCGGATATCTGTCCTGTGGGCCCGGCTCCAATTGTGCCGGTGAGTCGAGCAAAAGATCCTCAACGAGTGGGGCCACAGGTAAGGCATCAGTGATCGATCGATTATCAATTATTTGTTCTTGACATCCTTTAAATAGATTCCTACCTGTACACCGGAGAAGCGAGCATCATTCGACCAGTGCACGAATCCATTCTATTCCCGTTACCGTATGGTACCAATCAAACTGCTAAACGAGATGGAGAACATGGACCAAGTACGTTTGAAGATGCCATGCATGAAATAGTACGAATTATAAACTTGAATATGAGATAGCATTCATGTTTAAATACTTGAAAAAAGCTGCAACCGTATCATGTTCATATAGTTAGATATTTAGTCCAATAACACTTTCTTCTCGTATCCTTCGATTTCGACCACAACGCTCTCCCCCACTCTATGTGGGGACGCGTTAACCCGGCTATCTCCAAGATTTCAAGCAGATTTGACTCGACCAGCATTCTACGACAATCATAAAGAAGACGAAATCCTCAAGCAACAGCCGAAACAACGCGCGAAATGTTCAAAGACCTACGTAGATGAGTGATGCAAGGAAAACGAATACAATAGAAAAAGTGCTGGGATCAGCGTGTGTGCTCAAATTCGTATGATTTCTAACGACTTCGTCTACCGAAGCATTTATTTTCCGATTTCTCGAGTTTGAACAACCAAAAGGTTACATTTAGCACTAGGAGTACCAATGAATTACACTATTAACTCGTTTTCTTGATCGTAATTTTTTGTTCTGCACAGAATTAGGTTTCTTTCGGTGCTTTCTACATCCAACCGGCAGTCTTTCTAAAAGATGTGTCGATGTTGGAGCAAAAAAGGCTGTTCTTTCCACTCTCGAACTTAGTAGCACATAAAAACTTTTTTAGACGGAGTTTGTTTGACAAGCTACAGGTGCTATTGCTGGTGATGACTGTACAAAGATGGTAACACCACCATAAATTAGGAGGATGTTAAAGCAGATATAGCGCGGCATCCCATATGAATCCTGTGACGATAAATTGCTTTTCGTATCCAGTGAGTACTGCAAAATCTATTGCTCTAATGGTCGACATGAATTCACTCCAATTCAGAGCGCATACGAAGAAAAAACTAGGCATAGCCATCCTCTATCGGAAATGAGACACTGGGCTCCGTATGGTAACTATCACACTAGTAATTTCAGTTATCGAAATTTCAAAAGGCAAAAATATATGTCAAAAACCATAATGGTGCTGAGATATTTGCAAAACTCCGGAACGCAGGTATCTGCGGTATGGGACAAATGGGCTATTACCCTTTCCGTAAGCTAAGGCGTTCACCATCACACAATGCGGGTCATTCATTTCGTCTCTGTCAACTAGTTCTATCGATCTCTGCCATCAGCAATCATCCGAAACGAAGAACTCGCATGGCGTGGTGGTGAACGCGTTGGCCCCCAGAAGGGGTAACAGCGCGTTCGTTCGCCACCGCAGCCACCTGCGGTCCGGAGTTTTGTAAATATTTCAGCAACACTGTAGTTGTATTTCGCATAATACCGCGCCATAAAAAATTGTGGTGGGCAAATAGTAAAAAGCAAATAAAAAGTTAATATTGGGATTTCAACTACGACCCTGGCTTAACTGGATTCAATGCCGATTGGGCTGCCCAGATCAGTTCTCTTGATAAGTGATTGCTGACGGCACTGATTGATAGAACTAGATGAGAAACAGGCGAAACGAATAACCCGCATGGTGTGATGGTGAACGCCTTAGCTTCCGGAAAGGGTAATAGCCCATTTGTCCCACATCGCAGATACCTGCGTTCCGGAGTTTTGCAAATATCTCAGCACCACTGTGGCTGTATTTCGCATAGTACCTTGCCATAAAAAATTCTAGTAAGCAGCAAATAAAAAGTTAATATATATGAGAACAACAATGAAAGAACAAAAATAGCCGATAAATGGATCCAAAAGTGTTTTGATGATGGTAAATATTGTATGTTTTAAAATAAATGCTACTCTTTCTAGGTATGTTCGGATGTCTCGATCATGGATGGCTGTTCAATATCAACACAAATTTGTTCGTCTCCTGAACAGACGGCTTTAAAAAAGATAATCGAGCAATTGTGTGCTACAAGGCAGGCGTATGATATCTATAAGAGCTGTTTGAGATCGGTCGTCAGCAGTCAACAGGTACGCGTCATCAATAAACCAAATCAAAGCAGAACGAAAATATGATTTAGAAGTATTTGTTAGGGAGACGGTTTGTAACCTTACAGGGAACCTCGTGCATGTCAGAATTTATGTCTTCTAGTCAGCGCAATCAATGTTCAGCTATCCAACATGTCGCGACCTGTATGGCCAAACAAGTAAGTTTCCACTTGGTGTCGTCTTCCTTTTATCAAAATAAAAGTATTGGGCTTTCTTAGAAGCGCATTCGTATATTTGAGGACGACGATTAGTGCTATATAAGAGCCTACACGTATTGATCTGTTCGCCTTAACATTTAATACGCATGATTTACACTATGATACATCATGATTGCGAATGTATTTTCCCAACTTTGGATCCGAGTTAAAGTAGAACATTTGTTTTAAACTATTCGAGTCATTCGATAGAGAAGAAAAGAATGAATGCATGACAATTTACAATAAGGTTCTCATTAAAATGCTTACTGATAACAACTATAGGTACGCGATTCGTGCGGTGACGACGCGCTTACGTACACATTCGCAGCTATGAACGACTTTGCTCAAATGATTGACAAACAATGCGTGGTACGTTTAACTAATGCCTATTGATTGATGGGAGAAGGTTCACATAATCCTTTAAATTCCATCACATGTTGATTGTGGCCACAAAACGATGGATGTACTTTGCTAGCAGAAAGCTAACGCGGCGATTTCGAAAAAGATTCTTTTCTATTCAGAAGCCGTTCTTAAGTGCTTTGTATTCTGATACGTTGTAGAATATTCCAGGTTTCACATAAAGTTTTTGAGGAAAAGAGCTTATGAAGAAGATCACGAAATGAAGTTTATACAATCTTTGAACCTTCTAACGGTTTACGGCCTCATCGTGGCTAGGAGGTGTTCATGGGTGTTGGACTCCGATGTACAGCGAGGAATTCATCCTCTGGCAGGGTCTTCCAGGCTGAGAACGAGACCGGCGTTTCCATTAGAAACCCAGCTAAGAGTAAACCAATACAGGGATCCATCACCGTCCTGGTATCAAAGTCGCATGGTGGCAAATCTCCCTCTGGTCCACAAGGGCGGCGACTGCCTATGGTGGTGAAGACCTGCGACTGACTTTAGTCGGGCTGACTTTGGAATTCCAAGAAACCACAATGGTTTGCCAGCAACCCATACATAGATATTATGCTGGTGCACACACATCCAGTGAGGACGGGCCATCTAAATATCAAGTATCAATAAGTACAGTCTTTGAATTCGACTGACCATTCGATCATCAACTGCGTCTACCTACTCGGTAACAGTATGCACACCGCTGCCACCAACATCATCCACACATTTGACAAGGGTACCGGACTGTAACTCACCGAGTCTCGGTAATTCTGTGCTTCGTGGTAGGTGATACATACCACGAAACCCGTATAACTCGAGGCCTGCACTCATCTATCGACGAAGGTCACTTGCAACGCTAGTTCGAACAGTATCTGGATCCGACAGTGGGCAAGTTTATAACGGTGTTCGACTGTAACCACTTTATTATCATTGAGTGTCAGCACACGTTCAGCTGACAGAAAGGTTTATCCGATGGACTTCACATAATTAACTGGTAAACCGAACTGCTGTCGATGTGCCACTGGCTGCTTAAACCTGGTGCACAAAGAAAGGAGTACCTGAGGAGCCTGGTGATTAGGGGAAAGGGCTAGCTACTCTTTCACACCTACGCGCGTCACACCACCATGCTAGCACAGAACAGTCTTCATCTTGATCGAAACCAAAAAAGGAATCCCACAAGGTTTTTTCTGTGCTATTGCTCGCATCAGCGGAATGTGCTGTACTGGAAGCTGCTGATGCCCAAAGAGAGTGTTGGTGATCGCTTCTGTACAACTCAGCTTCGCAGGTGGCGTAATGTTGTGAAGGTTAGGTGACCTAGAATACATCAGCGCTCGGACAAGCGTGGCTTCAACGATTCGTATCGACTGGAAGACAAATCTTGACTGCAATACGATTCCACATCCTATGAGCTTAAACCATCTGATTAATTTCTCCGGGTTCCCTTCGAGTTTTCGTACAAGCATTTTGCCAACTTCGACGACATAAACTCGGAAATTAGGCATTTCTCCGACTTCCAGTCATTCAATTTTTGGAAGGGAAGCACCACTTCCTGTGGAAAGCTTAGGCTTAGGTGATCCGTTAGCCTGATGATTACGTCGTAAACTGAAACAACGTTTTCGGAGTAGTTTGGAAAGTAGTCAAAAAAGAAAGTGCTGCGTTAATTTCTTGTCAATCTAGTGCGTATTAAGTGCTTCGAAAACGTGGATTCAACTACCATATTTGACGCCCACATTCTTCATATTTAAATTTTTCAGATCGATAAACCAGTAGTATCGATCGCAACCGGTTGCTCTGAACAGGACATGATCACCTATTTGTCGTGTGAGAGTTCAATTGATCCGTTTAGCTTCCGACCGATCTCGATCATTGGGCGAGTAATCCTTGTTAACAGTACAAGTTATTGATTAGAGTATAAGCAAAAAGATAATGCTGACTTTGATTAAGACACTTCAACGTGGATGTCACCGGTATTGATTGAATTTTGATTCATAGAATGGAATTGATTTTAGTGACGGTTCTAAATGGAATGAGATGTGCGCGGCGTTTGAAGGGTCATACAGACCGTGCGTGGAGAAGATGACATGCCGATTTGAGCCTATTTCATCAGCAAATATACAACTATTTGATGGTATTTGTAATAGGTAATATCTACAACATACGTTAGAAACAACGGGGAACCTCCTGCTTATACATTTTAAAGCATTAATAGGATTATGAAGACAAATAAAAGCTTGGTTTTTGGTCGCATTCATTAGTGGCCAAAGATTAGAGCTCCTAAGTAGATTTACAAATAACTTGAAAAGAAATAAAAGATGAAAAAGGGTAAAGCTCTCGGCGCTAATCAATCGCTGAGAGATGGTCCTTACATTCGGCTTTATTAAGCATCGTTTGGAGGTGAGTGAATGCATATCTGCCCTTTACAATGACTCGCGGTGGCCCACCGATGTATCGAGCCAATGCTGCTATACTCCCAGACAAGTCGGACACCAATTTGCCGACTCCGGAGAGATGGAAGGCTTAAACCGTGGGCGCTGGGATCGATTCCACGTGTGTGTTGCAGGGCGCCTCCAACCACTGTGCCACACGCGCCCATTAAGAAAGAAGATAGGGAACTAAATTAAGCAAATGAGCGAACTTAAAGTAGTAAACGCCTATCGATTGATGGCTCGGTTTCGTGAGTGTCGTGCAGCTCACTACTACTAATACAACAGGAATCGGAAATTTAATACAGACCGAAAGTATATATGCCTACTGTCTCCTGGCACTGTCACTATTCATTGCTGTATGCCCAGATCCCATAGAAGAACAACACAATGAGCACTGTGAAACAGTGGATCTGTCGCACGCGACAAAATTCTGCCGCGTTCTCGCGGTAGCTGGCGCTTCATGACTTGAATGGGGGAATGCTGAACTGTTAAATTGAATTAGGAAATTCCCAAGACCGGCTTTCTACTAACTTCGCCATTGATTGAGAATTCAATGTTTTTCCTCAATAAGCAAACACGAGGTTCATATTATAGAATTTATTAGCATACAATATGTGACATTTCGGTTGCTTCGCCTTCTTCAGAGCCTGAAAAGGTCAAATTGACATGCAATCTACTCAGCATTTGACCCTTGCAGGTTCTGAAGAAGGCGAAACCGCTGGAACGTCAGCCATTGTATTTGAAAAAGAAGAGATACCAATCTTGCGTTAACTGTAACATATTATGACTGTTTTTCCTTTGCAGACCGTTGACACTTCGTGATCAGAAATCGTTTGGTCGTTGTCTTTCTAACTACACGAACAGTGCAGTTGGACAGAAGTGCATCTCCGGGATGGCCAGTATCGACCCGATGGCGGCTGACGCTCCGAAGAAGATGTGTGAAGCGTAAGTGATGGGTGCTGGTTTCATAGTGTCTGAAATCTCTTCTACTAGGTCATAATATTTATGCTTGAAATTTCTTGACTCATCAATGCATGAACGATCATCAAGTGAAGAATAATAAGTGTTGCATGGGTCTTGCCTGGGTTGAATGGCCCCTGCATTTGCTTTTCTGCTGCGTCATCGCTAATCCTTCTTTTCAACTGTTCTTTATTTTGTTAATTTCTTATTTACTGCTTGTTGCAATTTCTCACGGTAAACTACTATGTATGATACAGCCACGATGATGCTGGGATATTTGCAAAACTCTGGACCGCAGATGTCTGCGGTGGGGAATGATCGCACTATCACTCTCCGAGGGCTAACGGATTCACCATCACACCATGGAGCTCCTTCGTTTTGTCTTTCTCTCGGCTAATTTTCTATCTACCAGTGTGTTCAGGATTCATCCATCAACAGAATTGATCTGGTAGGCACAAATAGGCATTGAACTCCGTTTAAGCTGAGGCTGTAGTTGAAATCACAATGTTAACTTCTTATTTACTGCCTATTACCACTTTTCATGACAGGGTATTGTGTTTTTTATTTCTTTATGCGGCCCAGATTTACGTCTTATAGCACTGTGTACGGTAACTCCCAAGTCTGACTTTCTATTAACCTCGGCATTGATTGAATATATCTTTCTACTTCTGTTCAGCAAGCACGAGGTGCTATTTTATTTCTTTATTTACGCCCAAGCTGACGTTTCGGCGGATTTCGCCTTCCCCAGAGCCTGGAAGGGTCAACTTGACAGCAATCCATTCGGCCAAACACCTCCATAACCAAACAGAGAAAACGCTAAACCAAGATTTCAATCACATTTAGCATAGCTCTGCACACTCACCGCTTTCTATGAGTCTTCCACTGAGTATGTCGCGTGAAGACCGACCGCACAGAATTCACATGGAAGCGTAATGTGCCCCTCCCATCAGAATAACAGGTTTATATACTGTCCAATATCACGCGTGATAACGAGGCATTCCTCCCTGCGGTTCATTTTCTGATTCTTGGAATTTATCCAGAATGCCTCTAGAGTTTTGCGCGCATGTGTTCTCGATTCTTGCGCGAGGATCGTTAACCCTTACTTCAAAATCTTCTCCGTTATGTTTCTGCGTGCTTTGCGTACCTAGTGGAGTACTTAGCTTACGTGTGCCGACTAGGTGTTCTTTTATACGTACGCAGAGTGGTCTACCCGTTTCGCCAACGTATTCGTCCCCGTACGCTTTACAAGAGATCAGATAGACTGTACCCGAACTCATGCAGTCACCGTCTCTACCATTGGGGCAAATTATGCAATTTTGCGTTGCACATAGACGGTCGTATAGGCGGTTACGAACTAGCTGGCGCCTTAGATTATTCGGTGGTATTTCGATTATCGTTACCGAATTCTCTAGATTGGCCCTTCTTAAACAGCGTTTTATAGCTGCACTTACTTCATTTGAAATAAAGGGCAGTATAAACGGGACCTTGTTGTCGCTAGAGTTATCGTTGGGGTACCTGTGGTTTCCTCTACACCTATTTGGACTTACGGTTTCGTAGCCATTAAAAATGGCTATTTGCGGCGCCAAGTTCCGGGACTCCTCTCTCTGTTGTCTCCCTGTGCACACGCTGGTAGCTGTTCGATACATGTTTCTCACAAGCGCCCTTTTCGTGTGAGAGGGATGAGAGGAGAAGTAATGAACTAGGATGTTTTTACTACTTGGCTTTCTACTACTGTTTTTACTACTACTTTCTACTACTACTTTTTTTTACTACTATGCTTTCTATTACTACTATTCTACTGCATACGGTGTTGAGAAGGCAATGTGACTGGATTCTCTTTTAGGTTGAACTCAATACTCACATGCGCCGGAAACGATATCGAAAAGGAATGTGGGTACGATGCACTTCTTCACGTCTACGAGCAACACATACAATGGGCTCAAGCTTACAACAAGAGCTGTGTTATTCAATCTCCAGAGTCTAGAGTACGTCTATCGGCTATAGAAAGCGCAATGAATTCGTGGATACAAAGAAAAGCTCTCTTTCTAGTGTTCAAAGGCGTCTTCCTAGTATGCTATGTATGTGGGGTAGAGATGTTGGTGTAGTCGTTGTGTGTGTTCTTAGGAAAAGCTGAAACTTTTTTTGATATTAAGATGTGAACAAATTGCTCATTGAGCACTCTTAGATTTTCTAAAATTTTGCAATAAGATCGGCTGGTAAAAAAGTCGGAGCTACCGTAGTAAAGTAGTAGGGCATCTGCTCAAGAACTACTAAACACAGAGCTTCCTAAGATAAAAAATGTTCAATGATAAATTTAGTGGAAAAGCGATCCTAAGAGTAACACAAGTCAAAATATCATAATCACTTTCCATCATTAGTTTAGTTTAATTGGGACAGATTCCTCCTTCAATTTTTGCCTAAGATCTATTCGCTGTGATATGACTATCTTTATGTCTATCTTTACGTTTTAGTCAGTATCAACGAACACTCTGGATAAGTCCAGAGATGTTGAGCCGTTGCATGTTGTCCGAGACGAGACGACGCCACATTCCGTACCTCAGAAAGATCCCACAACAACTGTTTTAACTTCCGATTCGGAAATCTCTCCAACTTCACCGACCATCGTTACGACGACGAGCTCAGAACAACCTATGACGACGACGCATCAAGAAGACGCCACAGCTGCTGGCAAAGGTTAGAGTCTCTTGTTTCCATTGATATACGCTTCGTTATGGCCAATCTAAATGTTAGTACCCAAACGACAGAGTCCAACCATCATAAAAATTCTGTGTAATTTCCTACCGTGAGGCATAGCTCCTGTGTAAAAGTAGATTGACCGTTTATTATGGCATATTTCTATGATATAAGCATTAATCTGAAGTTTCACTCTTGATGAACAGACGCGTAATGTGAGGCTACTTTCTCCAGAGACTGAAGCTTATACTCATTTTCTTCCTTTCAGATGCAACAACGTCATTGTACACTGTATTACTGGTACTCCTCATCACTCTGAGAATGTTCTGACTACCTTTGATGCCGAAAGCATTGTTTTTGTGAGAACTCCTAGCTTAGACTGTAATGAGAATCGATGTTGTCAATTTTAAGCACTATGCAATCGTACATTCTCACTGTTTTTCCATGATGATCTGATACGATTATTTTTATAGACATTCATTCTATTCGATGCGTACTCATGATAGTCGTCAACGTCGTTCACAACAAACCCACACATCATCCATATTCTCACTAAAATGTGAACGACGCCGTCCGTCTATCCTAAGTCCCTAATTTTTCCGCAAGCAACACATTCTCTTAAGTGAGCTCTACACCTGTTAACCTTCAGGAAGTAAGGTAGTAAGTGAGCGATTACCCGATGGCTAACTAAGCTTTTGTATCGCTCTCTGAATTCGAGTACGGCCAATTATGGCATTTAAGACTTTATGAGTTAGAGTTTTTCTTTGACCATGTTTCTACCGTGTACAGATCTTGCCAGGTGATTCATTAATAATACTCAATATTGTATTCATATGCGGGAAACATAAAGTATCATGTCAAATAAATATAAACTAAAATGTCGAGGAGTATAGGTAAAGTTGCCAACTTGTCTCAACAGAAAAACACGATAGAGGCATACGGAGTAGTACTAAACGAACTCGACTTCTCGTTACACTTCATAGAGTTCTAAGTAACTATAACTGAAAACCCAACAATGATAGCGCCTTGAGATAAGAGTTACAAACCCAACTACTGGCCTTCAAGAACCAGGCGGTATAAGTCGGACCACAGCTCAATTGGTCGGACTTCTCGCGAATGTTCATAGTACTCGCCACTTAGGCCTCTTGTTCGACAAATGATTTACGGAACATAATATAGTAATAAATAAAAAAAAGCTGTTCTCCGTTGTTATTTGTCACAATGGTATCAGAACATGTACCGTCAGTAAACGATTATCATGTGGACTCTATAGAGAATTCTCCAATCAGAGAATTCTCTATCTACATAACTAATACAGTTGTTGGTTCAGTGGTAGAATGCTCGCCTGCCACGCCGGCGACCCGGGTTCGATTTCCGGCCAACGCACCAATGTAACGGCTCACAACCGAAGGCTGATATGAAAGACGCTGGCGAGAGTGTACAAGAGCTATGAACCGCTTCTGAGGTACCTCAAACTTGGGTAATTAAACCTTTATTAGTATACACATGTTATTTACACAACAACACAATGCGATCCACAATGTCTGTTCAATAAACTGCGAATGAGCTGGTTCAGTGGGTTTGTTACCCAATAAAATACAATACAATAGTACACACACCAATGTAACGGCTCACAACGCAAGGATGTAAAAAGCGTTCGCGAAAGTGCGCAAGAGCGAAGAACCGTTTGTGAGGTACCTGTGAGCAATGAAAGTATTTAACTTATGTTAACAGACACAACGTAATTACACAAGAACCAACGATAACCTTAATGTGTCAGCGATGCAAGGGCTAGGGATTACACGTACTATCATCGCGACCTAAGCAAATAAATTCGCAAGGTAGGATCAAACGGGAGGAAATTAATGATGAAGCTGGCGCCGGCGATCTCCACGGCGTCGTCGGGCCAAATGACGGTGCTATTGGGCGCGGCTACGTCTAAGCGGCAGTGGGCTCTATGGCCAGAACGGGATATGGACGCAGAGGAAGCGCGCGGCGTTGCAGCCACGCGGTCTCCATCGATCCCGTGACTGTATTACTTATGCAGATAGGGAATTCTCTATCTGATTGGGGAATTCTCTATAAACTCATATTAGAGCAGAAGAAAGCACGATAAGGACTTTATATTATACAATAACGGCAGCAAAATGATCTAAGGTTTACATTGTGACAAATACGTGGTTCACCGCCTTAAGATTAACTCTATGATTTCGAGGCTTGCTTTTTAAGTGCAGCTGCTGACGCCTCCGAAGCGTTGAGACGAAGCCTCGAATTTGCCAATACATTCCTTAAATTCTTCATTTTCCTTCAACACCTCGGTTAGCTATAAATGATGATATAACACGAGTGTACAAGCTCTAGCATATTATAAAAAGAGGATGCAGTATTAGTCCCTCAACACTTAGAACCACAAACGACTTTAAAGAAAACGAAGAAAGACGGTGGGTTGACAAATGTGCAGACCTCGCCAAAAGTTTGCTGGAGAGCATTTTGTCACGGCGGTAATCAACATGTTTCCGTTTCAATTGTTCCAATTCTGTAATATTGTAGAGAGGGTAGGGTTGAAGGATTCATTTACTTCTTCAATTTACTGCTTATTTTCCTGAGGAACATCGTAGGATCAATGGGCTGCTCTTTGACCGGGATTTCAGCGATCTGGCGAATCTACTCTGGTAGGGCATCTGTCGTGCCGTTCTTCTACAAGCGATTTCCAAAGATCTGAGCTAGATCCAAGTGAATTTAAATCTAAGCATCTTTCATCTCCATAAATCTCCCTTCTTTTATAGATCTTTCTAAAGTACAGGTTCACGCAAAATTTAAAGTAAAATCTATATTTTTCAAACTGCGAGCGAGTTCAAAATACTTGTCACACTGAAGACAACACCATAGTAGGCGCCAATTCTCATCATAAAGTCAACAAACAGTGAATCTATCCAAACGAAGGTTCAAGCGATATTACTATGTTCATGACGGTTGCGGGCCAGTTGTGGAAGCACAACAGTATGCCAAACATGAGCACATACGAAGTCACTTGTTTTTCAATCGACCGTACTGAACTGCTTGCAATAACAGAAGAGAAAAACAAACAAACAAACAAAAACTAACACATAAAAGAAGGTCGCGTGGAACGTGGCGGAATATGGGCAGAGCGCAAAAGTTGAAACAAAGCCAAAACGGTATAAAAATAATGTGCTAACAGTGCTAAGTTCATTTGTTTCTTATTTATGAATGAATGCCGAAGAGAAGCAGGACAATGTTACCAAAAACGTGTACACCATATTGCAGTACAGTACACGAATCCCCGTGCAAAAAATAAATAGAAAAAGAGGCGATTCTGGATGGTAAAGCAGCACTTAGCATCAGATGTGATAATATGGATAGTGTTAATGACATAACGGCGACTGAGGGGAAGGGATCTTTCGAAGCGAGCGTGGGAAAGTATAAAGGTAGCACTTGGCGGTGAGAGACGATAGAATAGGTTTCGTATCGTGGAGCGTTCAAATGCCAAAAAAAAATAGCCCAGCTTCTTGGTGTGTGGAAAGGAAATCGGCAACTCTGAGCCAGTTAAACCATTTTTCTTTGATTATGCAATCCTCCACTCATCTCTTTCATAGGAAGGATCTCATGTCGTGCAGTAACGAGGCAACGTGGCGCGTTCCCAGATGGCGGATGGTGGGTTAATCGCGGACCACAAGCCACCTATGATTCGATGGGACGCAGACGGATCCAAGGGATAGACTCCCTGTTTCCGTTTTGGCACATACCTTCTCTGTTTACGAAAACATGTTCTTTCACGCGTGCAGGGGTGCTTTCTCGTTTATGGTTGCTTTCCCGTTTAAGGATTGCACCCTACTAGTCAAGTCGGCTAAGAGCCTGTAGTAAAGTAAGAGGGAAGCATGAGAGAGCCGATTAGGATTACTCCAACAAGATCTCCGTCAACTATGGCACAGAATGGCAAGCTACCCTTATGTATACCCAGTCTCCATGTTCACAACTCAACAAACTATCCGTGGGTGTTGGCTAAAAATAGCTAAAAAATATAGCTAAAATAGAATAGCTAAAAAAATGTCCGCGTCAACACAAGTTTGTCCACGAACATTAATTCATTTGAACAGCTTACAACCCAAATCGGACGTTTACGATTAAAAAGGTGCGTATCAATACCGGCTTTGACAATCTTCGTCGTTTACGCGCCGACATCAAACTATGACGAAGGAGAAGTCGAAGTGTTCTATATGGACTTGGAGAAGTTCTAAAGAGAAGATCATACATTCAAGGTTATCATTGGAGATTTCAACACCAAGAATGGGCCAAGAAGAACGTCTGAAAAACGTCGCATTGGGACCCACGGATTAGAATTGAACGAACAGGGTGAGCGGCTTTCAGAGTTTATCATGGCGACCAAGACCATCCATGGTAAGTCGCAATTCCAGAAACTCCACTCTCAACGGTGGACGTGGAAGTCCTTTAAGGGAAAGTACCACATCACAGTAAAATTAAGATTTACACTAGCCTTGCTTGTCTCCCAAAATTTGACACATTGTCGGAAAACCAGCTCCTTCTTGCAGGATTACATTTCTCGCGGAAAGGAGAAAAAGTAGCTAAGCTCGAAAAAGGAATTCCAAAAACTATCATACACTGGAATTTATTCAGTTCATTATTCGGCTGTTGGGAAGATGCTGTTCTCCATAAGATCGTCGAAAAAAACTACTAACTCATTCGACATCTTCACGTTATCGCTATGAAAGGCGAGAGATCGGAAGTCGCCAAGTGACGGCTGTCTCCAGAAACACTTGAGCTGATCCGCCAGCATGGAACCGCAGGAGCTGCTGGCAACCGTCAATTCAAGTCCGAACTTGCAAACCAATGCAGAGAACCGATAGACAAAGGCCTTAAAGAGAGAAAGTGGTATATTTATTTACGTGATCTTATAAACTGATCTTCTTAAGCTGACGCGAAGTTGGTACAGGTCTTCGTTGTCGTTGTCGTTCTTTTTGATGTTATTGACCGATGGCTGACGTTTCGGCGACTTCGCCTTCCTCAGAGCCTGGACGTATTTTATATTAGAATACTTTAATTATTTGGTGGGAAAAGGCTAAAGTATTAGTGAAGATCAAACGTTTAAATAGATGGTTGGTTGGTTAGGATGTTACGGTCAAATGTAGTTCTACGCCATGTTGAACAGAGAGGCCACTCACCGTGATGTTACGAGTGGGGCTGGCCCACGCGTTGCTCACGTGGGGTCGCGAGCAAGATACACCCCGGGGTCAAAATATCACTTTGAAATAGGGCACCAGGTCACGCGTGATAGTGAGGCATTCGTCTTTCCGGTTCATCATTGGATTTTTGAAATTTATCCAAAATGCCGCAAGAGTTTTGCGCGTTGATGTTTTTGATTCTTGCGCTAGGATCCGCACAGTCACTTCAAAATCATCGCCGTTGTGCTTTTGTGCCCTATGCGTACCTAGAGGAGTGTTTAAACGGATTTTAGCTTTCCCATCTAGATTTTCTTTTATGCGGACACAAAGTGGTCTACTCGTTTCACCGATATATTCCTCGCCGCATGCATTACATGAGATCAAGTATATTATACCTAAACTCATGCAATTCCCGTTTCTCCCGTTAGGACAGATCATACAGTTTTCTGAGCTGCACAAACGATCATAGAGACGGTTTCGAACTAACTGGCCGCGTAAGGTATTGGGTGGGATGTCAATAATCGTTGCATAATTTTCAAGGCCACTTTTTTTAAAGCACTTTTTAATGGCGTGACTTACTTCATTTGATATGAAGGGCAGCTTAAAGGGGATCTTACTTACGTCCGAAATATTATTTCGGGAAACTACCGTATGTTTTTGTCTAACTCGAGTGGCTTCTCCTGCGTAGCCATTGGAAATAGCTATTTTTCGTGCCAGGTTTAGCGATTCCTTCATTTTCTCTTTTCCTGTCCACACATTTTTAGCTGTACGGTACATGTTTTTGATAAGTGCTTTCTCATGTGTGAAGGTTGAGAGAAGACGTAGTGAACTAGTATATTTTTATTACTTGGCTTACGATACCATTTTGTTATAAAGCCACTTTCTGAGAGCTTTATTTGGATGTTTAAAAATGGAAGCCAGTTTTCGGTTGGTTTTTCTCGTGTAAATTTTATAAACTCTGACTGTCTTGACCGTTTAACAATTCAAAGCACTCATCCATCTGTTCTTGTGTGGAACAGACGATAAAGTAGAGTGTATCGACAGTAGAGTAAGGGTCAGTGATCGAGAACTGGACCTTCCGCCTTAGACATGAAAGAGTTGGCAAGGCTTGGTGCTAAACGCTGTCCCATGGCCAACCCTCTAATTTGTGCAAAATATTTTCCACACCACCTAAAGATTGAACAACTAAGACACTGTTTTAAGAGGGTCATTAGTTGCGCAATCGTCAAGCCGTACATTTTTATGTTCTTTTCGTGCTCTACGAGCAACTCGAGAATGGCTTGCATTGTGGAGTCATTCGACACGTTGGTATAAAGTAAAGTAACATTGAATGACTCCATTACATGTGTGCTGTTTGGTTGCGCGCACCATATGTGGTCTAGAAATATTCTGGTCTTAGGTAAATGGGTTAGAATGAATTTTAGCAATTGGGTCAGGATAAAGGTTTAGGAACCACGTTATCCTATTCGTTGGCTCGCCTATACAACTGATGATAGGTCCAAGGTTTAGCGATGATAGGTTTAAATGATGGTGGGTTCGCTGATGTAATATCATCAGCTGAAGTAAGCTTATGTGCTTTAATAAGCAAGTAAAGCACAGGACAAATTGAATGTTCGTTTTTAAGTCGAGAAATAACTGAAGGTTCTAAACCCGCTGCCTTTGCCGTGCTGACCCATTCTTGATTGCGTAGCAGTTTTACTTCGACGCTCTTCGAACTACGACGAATTTGAGTAAGGGTTACGATCCCCGCGCAAGAATGGCGAACACAAGCGCGCAAAACTCTAGAGGCATTCTGGATTAATTCCAAGAATCCGAAAATGAACCGCAGAGAGGAATGCCTCATTATCACGCGTGATATTGGACAGTATATAAACCTGTTATTCTAATGGGAGGGGCACATTACGCTTCCATGTGAATTCTGTGCGGTCGGTCTTCACACGACATACTCAGTGGAAGACTCATAGAAAGCGGTGAGTGTGCAGAGCTATGCTAAGTGTGATTGAAATCTTGGTTTAGCGTTTTCTCTGTTTGGTTATGGAGGTGTTTGGCCGAATAGGTTGCTGTCGACTTCACCTTTTCAGGCTCTGAGGAAGGCGAAATCCGCCGAAACGTCAGCTTGTGCGTAAATAAAGAAATAAAATAGCACCTCTTGTTTACTGAACAGAATTAGAAAGAATTATTCAATCAATGCTGAGGTTAATAGAAAGTCGGAGTTGGGAGTTACGCATCTTTAAATTTTCACTAGACTTTATTGTGCACATAATATACAGAAAGTCGGTCCCTTGAGTTAAACTACACTGTTTCAATCGCCTTTAGGCTGCATTGGTTCACATAAGGATTTAATACAATACAGTGTTAAAAACAAAAAGAACTCCAAGTAATAAATTCTGAACTTAATCGACTGGACAGAAAACGACAATAATTGAAGTGACTTGTCAAGAACCTTAACTTTCAAAACCTGTCCCCCTTTCCTTTGATGACAGTACTTTTAACAACGAGCTGATCTGACCAAAAAATTTCCCGTTTCAACTGTGAGATATAAGGCAGCTGCAGTTGGTGCTAGCGTTCCGTCATTGTCGTGCCGCTTTATCATTAGAGTTGCCTATGATACGATACGAAGGCTGTTCGTATTGAACATCAACCCGAATCACTGGCTCTAAAGAGTGTTGTAAAATCGTTATTTAAACGTTTGAGAACGACTACTGAAAGTTCTTATGATCAAGAGAAAAACTTAGACTTTGTATGTTTTTTATTGAAGGACTTTGACGATTTTTGACGAAAACCACTCCGACCAACGTTAACCGTCGATAACATATTGAGCTCATTGAAACAATGTATGCGACAAGATTTGTATCCATTTGAAGCCTAACAAATGGTGATTCGCCTAAATTGTGATTCTGTGCATTTCCTTCATCTGAATTTCTGCTCTCAGTCGATAATCGATCGTTGATTTGTGGAATTTTCTGGCTCCGAAATAGTACCGCCCGTTTGCAAAACGATTCCACCACGCTCATGTAGATTGTATCAGCGGCGTAGTAACGAGTACCAGCTTAGAATTGAAGAACATCGGATTTATTAAGATTTTAGATTGAACGATAAACCAGTGTCTCATGAAGGGATGAGGTATACGGTGTTGATCAATCAATAAAGGAGGAGATATGGATGAGACTCCATTAAGGAATCCCAGAAATGACCATATCAGGCATATACATACACAGTGGGATTGATAAACGCCGAGAGCTAAAGGTGATCTACTGCATATTTAACATATACAGTGACTCCCAGGAGTCTGTCAATATATTACGTCGGTATTTCTATCCTTCAAGACAAACCTAAACCTAATAAAGAAAAGGATAAAGCTCTCGACGTTGAACAATCCCTGAGGGATACGCCATACATTCGACTTCATTAAATATCGGTAAGGGTGAGTCGATGCACATCTGGCCTTTACAATGACTCGCGGTGGTCTGCCGATGTATCGAGCCAGTGCTGCTATCCTCGCAGGCAAGTCCGGTACCAATTTGCCGACCCCAGAAAGGTGGAAGGCTTGGTGAACCATGGGTACGGAGATCAATTCCACGTGTGTGTCGCAGTGACGCCAGTATCGAGATTAAAGGAATGCCGGTTTCGAAATATTGTTATTGTTCTTTGATACCTAAGAAATATAGTTTCTTGTAGAGGAACGAGCAGATTTTGGCGCTATAAAGCCGAAAATCAAAAATCGATGGTTTTACCGGAATCAGGGATCCAATGTCCACGTCGCATTTCAGGTTGAATTTGTCTTGAAAACACTAAAACGCATTCGCCAAATCTGGAAGCATTTTCGATTGGATTCCAGGATGATGTGTAGCTTAGGGACGAGGTTCGAACGGCTCACTCATAAGCAAGATCGATGACGTCCTCAAAGGTTCGCAACGAGTTCGTCTATGAAGACGACACTGTCACATAATTTTGATAAGAAATAAAAACACTTGAACATAGTACTGCTGAAGACCAGTCGATAATCAGAACAACCAATCTATTTGCGGAGTCTAGCGCGCTCCTCGTTCTAATGCCGTTTTCCCGGCTGGGATCGATCACCTCCGCACTGCTAACTGATTTCGGACATTCACTCTGGATCACTCGTTATGTCAACGTATTCCTTCTTAAGGAGTTTCAAAGACTCCAGATAAAAATCGACGACTACGATGATCTTCCTGATGAGTCTCTGAACTGATGGTCAACTACTCTAGTATGCTCTTTTTTCCACCAAGAAAAATATGCTAACTAAATTTTTCTTAAAACGCCAACGCAATTTGTGTTCTGATTTCCCTTGTTATTAGCGAACAAATCAAGTGCATTTGCATGCACTGTGAACTCACTGCGAACAACGAAGTTAGTAAGGAGCAGCTCAAAACCCAAAACATTTGAAAGACGAGTGATTGTCTTGATCGATTGATTGGTTGACTGGCTAAGTGAGTGATCGAGAGACGACAAGATTGTCAACGATAGCAAAAATAAGCAGCATACGAAATGAAAAACCCCATTTGGACGAGGAAATTCCGATTCATACAAGCTCAAAGCCAAGGTTTATTGTACTTCGTTAGAACTGGATAGAAGTCTTTGACACATATCATCAGCAAAAATCGAAGATAATCGCTGGGCTCTTGGCTATAAAAGGAAGGCGACGATTCCACGGCACCCCTCATCGCTCAGTTCTGTCCAGTCAGCTCGTCGTCCTTCCAACTCCGTTCTTCGCTGGCGCTCACCGCCTGTCCAGTCGTTCGTCCTTCTGACTCTCTTAATGCGACTATAATCAGCTGTTCTAAACTTCCTCATTGGAAGTCACGAAAAAGCGGCTCTGAGGAAGGCGATACTGCCGAAACGTCAGCTAGCGTTGTATTATATTATGTTTTTTATGAAAGTAGATGTATGCTGTTTAAAAACCTCGCGATTGCTGAACAAGAAAACGACACATTCATATTCCAATGCCGAGGTTAAGAGAAAGTCGACCCTGGAAACAAATACTGTGTTTGGAGACGTGCTCACCGGTTGCTGTTATTATTGTTACAAATGCATAAAATGTAGATAGCATTAGACCAGACGCCATTTTGATCTAAAACAGCCAAAATGATGTAATACTGGATTGAAGAAAGAATCTGCCTGGAACGCTGAAAATTTAGATGAAGATGACTATAATCAGCTGTTCTAAACTTCCTCATTGGAAGCCACGAAAAAGCCGACTGCAGTCGTCAACCACATGCGACTATAATCAGCTGTTCTAAACTTCCTTATTGGAAGTCACGAAAAAGCGGTGGGTTTTTTCAAGAAGTTGTTGAATTATGTAATTACCGGAGAGTTTTTCGTCTTTTTGTAAGTGTTATTGAAGCGTTTGGCCTAGTAGATTGTATATCAGCATACCCTTCCAAGCTCTGAAGAAGGCGACACTGCCGAAACGTCAGCTAGCGTTGTATTGTGTTGTGTTTTTTATGGAAGTAAATGTATGCTGTTTAAAAACTTCGCGATTGCTGAACAAGAAAACGACAGTGTTTGTTTTCAACGACATGAACTTCCATTGAAACAACTTCATATTATGACTATGATTATTACTCTCCAAGCCGATTGAACTTCACCAATGAGGAACCCGTGAATGACAACGACACACTGTTTTCGCAGCTCGGTTCAATGGAAAAGGTAAGTAAAGAAATTTTCAACCTAATTTGTGATCTGGTGGACTTATGTCTCCACGAGATAAAAAATACGGAGAACATCCCTGTTACAAAGTGCTATAGTATGTTGATACATGCTCTTCTTGCTGTCGCTTAGGAATGAAGTAAACGAGTAATAGCGAGGACATCGTCCCTAGAGAGTATGAAGACTGACAGATAATATGAGTAGAGAACTGCACTCTGAGCGTAGAAATAAGACGTGAGGTCATTCTGTTTCAATAAACCCATAATTCAAGGGTTTGCTCTCCAGCGTTCGTTTTCATTTAGATCGTCATTCCAATCCCTTACAAAACCAAGATGCTCTTTTAGTACGAGTTCATGGCATGGATTGTTTTTCACTTTCCAGAAATTTTACCCAAATCTTTTACTACTACGGCGTTTGGTATGTAAACAACTGAAGTAAAAATTAGGCGTACGTTCACGCCAATGGAAGCCGTTTTCCATTTTTAATAGCTTTTCACTCGACTTTTAACCCTGTTGTTTGACTCCTCTCATCGGGAGGTTGTCATATGACTTCGACCAGATGAGATCGATGTGAGGAAAGGATATGGTCACTTGGGCAGCATTGCTGTTACCTGAGCTAGTCAGCCGTAGAGCCGTTTAAATACCCTTTGGGCTGGGCGGAGTCAGGCTACAATAGGCGGAGTCGGGTTACAGTAGGTGGAGTGGGGTTACAGTAGGTGGAGTCAGGCTACAGTATGCGGAAGGACGGCTGCTGGAAACATTTCACAAGCGTTGCAATCTGATAAGGCGATAGTCAAAGCATAGGACTGTAACTGCAGATGTTTTTCATGAGATAACTGCCAACGAAATGTTAGCCATGTGGTTATCGGATCGTCATAAGGTCATCGGAAGCCGTATTCGAAATGTTTGACATAAGTTCAGATCGTCATGGGAATAAGGTCACCGGGAACAGTATTTGAAATGTTTTACATAGAGAACATTCCAATATTCGTGAAGAATGTTCTCTATAATAACAGTAGAGCGAAGTATATGGACGAGTTAGGCGATATGAACGAACTGGTTGGACACTGCGAACACTTGAAGATGAATGGCCATGGGCTGTCTGTATTACTTCTGTAGTGGATGGAGCTTTGCCGGAGGGAACTAATGGCAGAGCGTAGAGAGAGGTTCTAAAGGTTTTCTTCTACTAGCACAGTCTGATAGAGCTACATGTGAGAGGGCGCAGCTGCTCGTTCGGAACGGCAGATGCTGGAAAGTTTATCCACGCTCCCGATCGGGGATAAGGTGAGTGATGGCATGTCTCCCCGTCGAAGGCACTTGGCTTATATCGGCTGCGGGAGCTGCGAGAGTATGCAACCGCGGTTAATCTTGATTGTTGATCCTGGACCGCAATAGACTGTACCTAACTGCCTGAAACATCAAACGTCATTAGCTTCGTCGTTTCGCAAGGAAGCAGTAAACTGTTCTATGGTTACGCCTCCTTCGGATAAGCCATCGTCGCTATGCTACTGAAGTCAAACCTGAATCGCTATTGTGTCTGAAACACTGAACATAATTGATCGGGAAGATTACAAAGGTTACATTGCGGTGTTTGATGTGCGAGTGCGAGGCGGCCATATTTGGACTTCAAATACTATTATTTAGATAGATAGAGAACTTTCCAAGAGAGTTCTCTACAGCACGGGCCTACTTCCCAATTTAACTCTTCAAGTTTTACGAGTTATGCATAATTAGGATGCAAAAATCAATAGCGACCAGTCATCAATAAAACTAGCTGAGAGAAGGGCTAAACGAAGGACCTGCATGCCTTGGCGGTGAGCACGTTTGACTCCACAAAAGCTGTGTTCGAACCCCACCGCAGACACTAGTTATCCTGCGCTCTGCAAATATCTCAAATATCTCAGCACTACCGTGGTACTGTTTCATATAATGCCCTGCCACATAGAGCAGTGGTCGGAGGCACACTGCAACACACACCTGGAATCGGTCCCCGCGCCCATGGTCCACCAAGCCTCTCATCCCTCCGGGGTTGGCAAATTAGTACCAGACTTTTCTGGGAGGATAGCTGCACTGGCTAATACATCGGCAGGCCACCGCGAGTCATTGTAAAGCACAGTATGCATTCAATCACCTCCAAACGATGCTTAATGAAGTCGAATGCACTGCGCATCCCTCACGAATTGATCAGCACTGAGAGCTCTATACTTTTTTTAAACTCTCCCGTGAAAATGGTAATAGGTAGGAAGCAAAAAAATCATCATCGTAAAAATTAATAGTTCATGAAGCCGTGTATATGAGGAACTTCTTATTACGTCCTCCTGAGCTTGGCCAAGCCACAGTGATCACTACCACCTAAGGACCAGGAGAAATAATCGTCACTGCTTGCTTTTAGGTGTTACGAGAACGATAGTAGCATAGCAGTTCCTTCAATATGAAAATTTTTTCGTACGCTGAGGAATAGTAACACAATGGTATACTCTAGGTCACCTCATTTCAACCATTTTTCAGAAACTATTTTTTAACTGCGAGACACTCCATGTTTCCGTTTTTACACAAAGCGAACATAAATTTTTATATCCGGCTCGAAAGAAACGACATACATGTCTCGTAGAACAGCAAACAACAATGTTAATTAAAACGATTGCCGAGAGCCACAAGAACAGCTTCGAAAACCTCTGAAGGGTTCAGCCCATCCATTTTCCAAAACTTTAAAAATAAAGGTCCAAGTAAAAAAAAATTAAGGTCACAGTTGGTTAAATTAGTTCGATTTAAGTTCATTCCGACAAGTAATGAATTAAAAATTTTCAGTGGAAATGATTGAAGAACGTGACAAATCTAGGAGAAGGACTGTGAATACTATAACAACGACTTAACATCGAATATGACTTCTCAAATTGTAAAAGTTCAAAACAAAAAACTGATCAAATAGGGCATTCATGAACTTCTGAATAGGTGTTGCCTTGCATGTTTCACCTAAAAGTCACATATCGCAAAGATTTTACCAACAGAAGATGTAACAGAAGTGGTTCGCCGAACCTCATCAGCATAATCGGCATTTTCTTTCAAAACATCTCGAATCTGCATGAGTACTTCACCCATCACATTATATCCTCGCCATTTCGATGAGTCTGCGATATCTGGATTGTCTAAAGAACTACAAATTATTAAACAACAATTTCAGTAACAGAACTATATAAGCTCATATGTTAAAAACTATTCCTATTATACAAAATAAAAGGATAAAGTTCTCGGCTTTGATCAATCCCTGATGGATCCGCCACGCATTCGACTTCATTAAGCATCGTTAGAGGTGAGTGAATGCATAGCATGCCAAAACAGTGCCTCACAGTGACCTACCCCTGCTTTAAGTCAGTGCTGTTATCCTCATAGAAGTCTGGTACCTTTGCCGAACCCGGAGGGATAGAAGGATAGGTGAGCCTCGGGTGCGAGATCTATCCCATGGTGTCACCGACCACTGCACTACATGCACTTCAATATATATATATATCACCTGTATCACCTATGTATATATACGTATATATACATATATATATCAACTGTATCACCTGTAGTCCTGTTGATCGTCGAGTGACTCGAGCGGGTGCCAGTAAATCTTCCATTTTTCCCTGTCGCGTGCAAGAGTAACCCAGCAGGTTCTGTTCGCTTCAGGAACTCGTCGAGCATCATATCTTTCTTCTCGGCTTTTCGTGAAAAACTCTGTCCATCGGGTTAGTGGCCTTCCTGCTGCACGTTTGACATCCCTAGGAATCCAGTCACTAACGGCTCTTGTCCATCAGTTGTCATTCATACGGATTACGTGTCCTGCCCACCTTATCTTCAACTGTTTGGCGTACAGAACGGCATCTTTCACTTTTGATCGTTGACGTAGGTCGAGGCTTTGAATCCCTTCCTTTACTTGTGTGAAACGGGATACTCCTAGCATCGTTCTTTCGACTTCGCGTTCGATAACGCTGAGTGATCATTCATCTTGCTTACTCATCGACCAGGTCCCTGACGCATACATTAGAGCAGGAAGAACCGTGGAGTCGAAAAGGTGGGCAAGGAGTTGTGTGCTCTTTGTTCTCTTCACTACATCCTCAATGCTCTTGAAAGCTTCACAAGCCGCTCGTTTCCTTCAGCTTAGCTCTGGAGCTAGCTCATTCAACATATTGATTTCCTGACCTAGATAAATATAGCTGGAGTATTCGGAGATATTCATTCCGTTGAGCGTGAATGGGGCACACGAAACCAATAGGTTCCTCATGAACATCGTTTTTGTGAGATCTATTCAAAGACCAATCTTTCCACAGGCTTAATCAAAGCCGGCAAGCATACGTTCAGCAAAGCGATAATGGTATAACTGCCGACCATCGATTTTCACTCCTATATTATCCCATTGCAATCTTCGCATGACGTTCTGGAGGGTAGCGATAAATAATTTTGGCGAGATGGCGTCGCCTTGCCTAAACCCTCTTTTGACATCAATGTTAATATCGTAGTAGAATGGTGATATCTTGGTTTTGGAATTTTTGTACAGCTCACGAAGAATCTTTATGTACTGAATAGGGTCTCCTTGACTATCAAGGGTTTCCAAGACTTCTTCCAATTGAATCAAAGGCCTTCTGTAAATCGATGAAAGTGAGACAGAGCGGTCTTTTGTACTCTCGAGATACTTCAGTGAGCCTTGTTATCGTGTGGATGTGGTCCATCGCACTAAATCCTTCTCGAAACCCTGTCTGCTCACACACATGGCTGTCCTTCGTCTAGTGTTCTGTCAATCCTGTTTAGGATGACTCGATTGAAAAGTTTGCAGACGACAGACAGTAAACAGATTGGGCGGTAGTTGCCGATATCGTGCGGGTCACACATCTTGAACAATAACACAGTTTTACTGGTCCTCCACTGAGTAGGGACCTTGCATTCAGACAGGTAACGTGTGAAGAACCGCGCCAGTGTGTTTACGAGGACTGGCGGAAGGTTCTTCAGGTGTTCTGGTCTTATCCTGTTCGGATTTGGTGTTGTTCGATTTTCTGCCAACGAAATAGCATGTCGGATTTCTGAAGGGAGAACCGGTGGTACGACATGTCCAATCTCCTTTATTTCATATGACGGAGGGTGGACGTGGCTATGGAAGAGATCTGAGTAGTACTCGTGAATGATTTTCTCCATTGCCTTTCTGGACGCTGTAACTATTCCCTCTGGGCGTCGGAGTGCAATCATCTTGGTCTTGTAACTGACGAAGCTTCGGTGGGCTCTGCGAATGCTTTCCCCAGCCTCTGCAGCTTCGACTATTAGTGCTGCTCTTCTCCCTTTCAGATCTTCTTTTATCGCCTGTCTGCTTTGTTTTGCAAGTTCGGACGTTAGTTCGCGGTTGCCTGCAGCTAGTGCGATTCCACGCTGGCGTATCAGCTCGAGTGTTTCTGGAGACAGAGGTCCCTTGATGACTTTCAAACTCTCAGCTTTCATAGCGCTAACGTGAAGATGTTGAATGAGCCGACTGCATTCTTCGTCGATTTTTGACAACAGCATCTTTCCAACAGCCGACTAATTGAATTGAATAAATCCCAGTTTATGATGGTTCTAGGACTTCGGTTTTTGAATTTAGCGGCTTTTTCTCCTTTCCACGAGAAATAGAATCCTGCACGAAGGAGACGATGGTCTGATCCCATGTAGAATTATGGGACAACAGCGACATCGGTTAGGCAAAACCTTTTATTTACTATAATGTGGTCTATTTCGTTATGGTACTCTCCATTGGGAGATTCCCACGTCCAGCGTTGACGGTGGGACTTCTGGAATTGCGAGTTACCATGGATGGTTTTGGTCGCCATGATAAACTCGGAAAGCCGCTCACCCTGTTCGTTCCAATCTAATCCGCAGGTCCCAGTGTGACGTTCTTCTTGGTCCAATCTTGGCGTTGAAATCTCCAATGATGACCTTGAAGAATGTGTGGTCTCCTCTGTAGAACTTCTCCAAGTCCATATAGAACGCTTCAACTTCTTCTTCACCACAGTTTGATGTCGGCGCATAAACGACGAAGATTGTCAAAGCCGGTATTGATCCACATCTTTTTAATCGTAAACGTCCGATTAGAGTTGTAAGTTGTTCGAATGAATCGATGTTCAGGGACAAACCTAGTAACAAGCTGTTGACGAGAACGCCGACTCCTCTACTGTCGCATGTTCCGAGGAACAGTTCTTCTCTGGAGTCAAAGACGGCGTTGAAAGGCTGGCGTCTTCTCGTCTCGGCCAGGCCGATGACGTCGTACCTTATCCTCTTTGCTTGCACGAGCAAGTTCTCTACCGAGGACTCGGATGCAAGTGCATTGTAGATACAGATCGTCACCATAGTTCTTTGTAATCCAGGTAGCTTCCATTGGCACTGAGATTTCGGCAGCCTCTCCGTACTCATCCTACCCAACGCTGCGAAATTGGGGCTCTTTCGGGGTCAGGAGAATGAAGCCCGTTTTTTTTCTTTTACTGCTTTTAGCTTTTTGATACCCACGTATAACTTGCTGGACTCTGAACGTGGGGGCTGGGTATACTCACGGGTAGCTTGCTAGGCTCTCCCAGAGTGGACATAGAGCTTATCTGTTGGAGGGGACACCTAACCGCCTCCCATATACTTCTCAGTCACTTGATTGCAGGCTTTTGGTCGAATTGACTCGTAGAATGCAATCCGCATAAACTAGAACGCACCCACACACGCGTGCATGAATACGCCTCGTAAATACAGAAAGTATGTGCTAAATCGGTGCAGCAGAAAGATGGAGTCCACCACCTGGATCCACCTGTGTCTAAGGGAAGCAAAGGTCGCCTTTGGCCCGCGATTAACCCCCTATCCTCCACCTGGGAACGTGCCATGTAGCCTCGCGGTTAATCGGCTCGAGATCCCTCATGTGAGGAAATTCAAAGCTATACGGAGTATAACAGCGGCTGTTGCGGACTAATTGACGGTGTTGGGAGTTGGGTGTGAGTGCCACAGAATTTTCAAGACTTCACTTCTTTTTAGACACCTCTTAATGGGGCAACCTATTTCGTTTTATATGAAGGTTACTTTGACAAGGATCTTATTTCGGTCTCAAACGTTATTTTGGAGCATAATAATAGCATTTGATCTAACCCGAATGGCTTCCGCTTCGTCGACATTGGAAGTAGCCATTTTTCGTGCCAAATTTATCGAAAACGAGTTTTATCAAAAGCAACTAGCGAACAACCAAAAACGTGTGCACAGGAGAAGAAGAAAGGAAGGAGTTGCTAAACTTGGTACGAAAATTAGCCATTTCCAATACATACGAAGAAGTAGCCATTCAAGTCAGACCAAAAGGTAAAGTTTTGATCAAAACACTATCTCCAACCTAAATATGATTCCTTTAAAGCTACCCTTTATATCCAACGAAATAAGTTATGACATTAGATGTCTAGAAAAGTGGTCATAAAAATTCTGTGGCAGTTACTAACCTCACCACTTAATGCCATGCGCCGGAAACTAACTAGTCCGCAACCGCCTCTTTGCTTGTTTGTGGAGCTTAGAAAATTGCGCAGTCTGCCCTAAGGCTAGAAACAGGGATTGATGAGTTCACGTACAACATAACTAATCTAATGTAAGGCATGCGGTGAAGAATACCTATAGGAAACGGGTAGATAATTTTGTGTCTGCATAAAAGAACATCTAGATGGGAAACATAAAATTCGACAAAGTACTCCTCTAGACATATATAGGGCACAAAAGCAAAATGGACTTGATTTTGAAGCGACTGTCAAGATCCTAAGGCAGGATCCAAGAACATTTATGCGCAAAACTCACTTATTATATTGAAATCGTTACATAAAATACGTGCAGACTCTAAAGAAGGTGAAGTCGCCGAAAGATCAGCCATCGAATCCCAACAACAACTGATAACAACATCGGATCGGCTTAATGAGGGCAAGTGGGAATACGTAAGTATATATATATATGTATATGCATATATAAATAACATATACACACATATATATGTATATGTACATACATATTGATGTATACATAAATATGCACATACGTATATATATATATATATATATATATATATATCGGTTATTAACGTCGAGGTCTATAGTGTCGGTCTTTCGAGTTATGCTATAATACCTTCCTGGACTATTAAACTAAAACGAGGTGGCGAAACACAACTACACGGATTCTGAGATATGAGCTAAACTCGGAACCTCAGGTGCGCTTCAGATCCTCGAATACCCTTTCCTAGGGCAAACGAATAATCGACTGAAACAACTAAAGCCCTTGCTTTGCCTTTCTCTTGGCCAATTTTTTCATTCCCTCAATTCCCCATTTGCTCTCACCATACTACTCCTGCTGACAGGTAATTCCTGATGGTACCGCTAGGGTAAAAAAAATGGTTGATAGAATGGCAAAGCATGGACCTCGAATGGCACAGTGGAGAACACGTGAGCTCCCGGAAACAACAATTGCAGGTTCGAAGCGCAAATGAGGTTCCGACTTTTGCTCATATCTGAGCATCCTTGGTGGTTGTGTAACACGAAGTTAGCAAGAAATATTATAAAAAAGAAAAAGAAGATATCGTGCAATAAGTTATTGCTTACTATCTTTGTAAATAAGAGAATTTTGTTGATGTTCTTCCTACAACATGATTTATGCTCTTATTCTCCAAATCTGTTTAAGAACATGCATCACCCGTCGGCTTGAAAAATCACCTAATATCACTTAATTTTCTATATCCTGGCGATAATAATCGTAGGTAGGCATAGCAGATTCTCTCATTTGCGTAATAGAAGGTGATTCTACGACGACACTTGATAGCACGCTCGATAATGCTGGCCCAGCTTTTTGGTTGTTTACGTGAGGTCCAAATTCCCGAAACATATGATGAGGAATCGTAACAGCTTTGAAAACCTGGGCCGAAAACCAGGTGTTCTCTTCCCTTTCTGTCCCTTCTTGGCCATTCTGAAGCTAAGTCTTTGCTGAAGTTCAGATATTTTTCCACAACCACTGATATTTGATCATAGTGAATAACTCTTAATGTAGTTGGGATGGTGGATCAGCAGTTGAAGATGATGTGAATACTGGCAATCCTTTTCACCCACAGGTTATCCCATTCTATTTTCCGCATAACATCTCAAGGGGTGATGTGATGAACTGTTAAATAATTTCGACGAGATTGTACCATCTTATGTTGAAGATAATTTGTATCTTCTATACAAGACATAAAGTAACGTTCTGTACTAAGAAGGAACGTCCTAGCTGCCTATGTCTTCGAACACCCCGTCCACCTCAAATGATTCGAAAGCCTTTTCGAGGAAAATATTTACATCTTTAGCTATCATAACACTACAACGACTTCCGTTACCGTGCAGATATTGTCCAACGTACCGAACCTATTTCTAAACTTTTGTAGAAAAAATCAAAACAGCGAGACTTGAAGTAAAAATGACGGTAGTAATGAATATACGTACCAATAGAAAGCCCAATTCCCCAATATGTGTCGCCACTATTTGCTTCGACCAACACAGAGCCAATCGTCCGGAAAAGCTGGTATCGCATTAGACGATTTTGTTTGAACTAGAAGTCTTTTAATGAAATTAAATTTCATTGAGACTTCAATAAACGAACCTTAGCCATAGACGCCTTCATTCTCACTTTCCAAGAATATGTCATCCATCTTGTAGCGTCGACATTTTCTAAAATCACCTTTGGCAAGGACTGAGAAACTGTGCATTTTTAAAGAAATACTTTTACAACTGGGAAATTTGCGAAATAGCAGTACCTTAACACACTTGCAAAGATAAATAGTTTTCGTTGGCTAAAGCAAGGAGAAACGCCCATTTTGTCCTCGACGGTGAGTTCACCCAATCTAACCCGTTCCGTCTAAAATGCCCCAAAAATGCTTTCCCATCTTTTTTTTCAGCAATTCGCTTTTCCATTTATTTTGCAATTTTTTATTTTCTACACATCCATTATGTTACCACTTTGTTTCTCCACAGATTTTGGAACACATCCTTTTCTTTTTTATTCTTAACGGGAGCGTACAGCACAGTGGTCAGAGGTGCCACGCACTATAGATGAGATCGATCGCCGCGCCCCAGTCTCACCAAGCCTTCCATTCCTTCGGGCTCGGTAAGTTGGTACTAGACTTGTCTGGGAGGATAACAGCACTGGCTCGGTACTCGGTAGGTCACTGCGAGTCATTGTAAAGGCCAGATACAGATTCAATCACCTCCAACGATACTTAATGAAGTTTAATGCATGGCGCATCCCTCAAGGATTGATCAAGGCCGAGGGCTTCATTCCTTACCTCTTCATCCTTTTTTTGTCAGAAAGAGTTCTTATGTAAGACGGGTCTGCTCCTTGGTAGACAAGCACTCATAGGAATGTATTCGTTTCTCCACTGTCAAAGGTGTTTATAAAATCGATAAAAAATAGGATTAGCGGCCGGTGGTAATCCCGATGAACTTCAATGACTCTAGACACAGTTTAGATGTGGTCCATACAGCAATATGCCTGTCAAAAACCTGATTGCTCCACTGGTTGCCCTTCATCCAATGTCTTTGATATACTCGACAGAATAATCTTCGCGAACAGCTTGTAGAGTACACTCAGCAAGCATATCGATGATAGTTACGAAGATCCTTTCGGTCACCATTCTTGCGTAGGATGACCTTGCGCGACGTCCTCCATTGGTTTGGGATTTTTTCCTTTTGAAGAAAGAGAAAGAAAGGGTATATGGCTTGCGAGGAGTACATGTAAGTTGTGGCTTCCAGCTGTGAGAAAGTCGCCGGTGACATTAACGGGTCCTGGAGCTGTGTCTCTTTTCATGCTTTTTATCGAAACTCGAACCTCCGACGGAAGCATTCCAGGTGGTTCTTCTCTAGCGGAGATTTTAGTGTTCCGAACGGGGATTGTGGGACCTAAAAGGTTGGTGAAGAACGTTTCCGTTATCAATTCCATGTCATTGCAGGAGGTTATGATGATCCCATCCTCGTTCATCAAGCCTAACAGCAGAATATTATAACCGCACAAATCCCGACGACATTTTTCAAGACCGTTGGTTCTTTTCTCTGCTGGTTCCAGTAGTTTCTTCTGCTTGTACCGATGTAGGTCTCTCTGCAAAGTTCTTCTGCAGCTATATTGCTAGCAGTGTTAAACGTGTTGTAGGTGAAGCTCCAGTTTCCTTCTGTTTTTGAGCAACTCCTTAGTGGTAATGAAGATATTATCCGGTCTTCTTCCTCAACGGGCTGAGGCGAACTCTGCACAACTTTTCAGTCCTTCGACCAGCAACTCGTAGTGTTTGGTACGGTCTTCTTCAATCTGCTAGTCACGTTTGGACAGGATTTCGTTCAAAACGTTCTCGTCAATATACAGTTAGGCTTTTCCCTCGTGGTCAATAAAAGGAATTCTTTTCCAGCTTACGGCTGATCCGAATCTTCGTGCCAAGAAGACGCTGATCGGAACCAGTATGGAATGACCAGAGTACGAAAAAAAACTACGAAACTGCACGAAGAAAATACAGCTTACTCGTTATCCTTAATATGACACTCTATTTCAATATTTCCAACCTCCATATAGAAGAGGGGATTTCTTCATAATCTCATCAGCAACAAAATTCACGAGGTATCGATAACACCGCACAAACGACACGCATTTCCGACAATTGTTATTGATTCAAATCCTTTTTTTCCTTCCCACCCTTTCTTTTGCAGAAAGTCTTTTTCCTCGATTGCTACTATGTTGAAAAAAAAACATTCCTCACTAGAAGACGCTGATCGGAAGCATTGTCACTAAGACAAAAGATTGTCTTAGTTAGACAGCAAATCAGCTTTCTCCGCTGCTGCTTTCAACATCGAGTCGTGCCGAAGTTTATAAAATGAAAGTAACTTTACGAGATATGCGGTCAACCAGAGGCCAACCAACAAGTACGAGGCATCGAAATGGAACTACCTCGAGCTGTACTACGAAGGAAGCAAAACGAAATTTTGCCAGAATGAAGAAGTGTGCAACGAAGGAACATTTTTGTGCTTTGTATTTGAAGGATCGCCTTTGGATGAGAATAGTTGGTGGGTCAATATTGATATGCGATTTTATTAGGTCTAATGCCAAAATAACCTTACAGCGAAAATTCGAATATCTTCTGAGTAATTCACATGTCTCAGCTTCAAGAAACAATCGCAAACGAATTCCTTACGCTTCTGATAATAGTCAAAATGGGGTTGATAATGCACGAAGAAAATCTAGGGTCACCGTGATTGGGGGCATAACAATACCTGAGAGTGCGCGTTCGCTATTAGAATTGGGCCCAAGTTTTGCACCATCACAGCCCATTTCTTTTAGAAATGCGTAGGATAGCATGCAACCTTTATGAGCTTCAAGATCGACTCCGCTATCAGACCAAGCAAGAAACATCAAATAGAGATAAAAATCAAGAGGCGGCGACACTGCCACCATCTCCTTTCCCAAAAACGTTCTTTAGACAGCAGGACCCTAACGATGGAGTTGACATAAAATTCCGCGTTTTCGGACGGCATTCTCAAGACGCTTGATCACTACCGCGATAGAAAGTTTATCTCTAACTTCGCCATAGATAGTTGATATATTTACTGATGTGATCTTTGTTACAGTCCCACACGTAACATCACAACTCTCAGGAAGGCGAAGTCGCCGAAACGTCAGCCATTGATCAATAATATCAAAAACAACAACAACGACAACGAAGACCTGTACCAACCTCGCATCAGCTTAAGAAGATCAGTTTACAAGATCACATCAATAAATATAACAGGAGTATCCTCGTTCACTTCCTTTCTTCCCACCCTTCACACACAAAGAGGGCGCTTGTGAAAAACATGTTTCGAGCAGCCATCTCTGTGCGCACAACCAGGGAACTAAAGTAGGAATCGCGCGACTTGGCTCCGCAAATAGCCATCTCCAATGGCTACGAAACTGTAACTCCACGAGATAAATTTAGAAGGAGAGCGACGCGCCCAAGCGAAACACTTGGCCAAAAGGGACTCCCGTTTATGTTGCATTTTATTAGCGATGAAGTAAGCGTAGCTATAAAACGAAGCTTAAGAAGGGCAGGTCTAGAGGAATCGGTAGCGATAGTTGAAATACCACCGGCTACTCTACGTCGTCGGTTAGTTCGTAACCGCCTATAAACCCGTCTATGTGAAACAACAAATTGCGTAATTTTCCCTTACGGCAGGGACGGTGATTGCATGAGTTCAGGTACGATATGCCTGATCTCTTGTAATAATTGTGGAGATGAATATATTGGCGAAACGGGCAGACCTTTGTGTATCCGTATAAAAGAACACCTAGATGGCAAACGAAAACTAAGACGAAGTACCCCATTCAGGACGCATAGGATACAAAAGCATAGAGGAGACGATTTTGAAGCAAAAGTCAATATCCTCGCACAGGAGACTAAAACACCAGCGCGAGAACTTCTTCAGGCTTTTAATGGTTAAACGCCAAAAACCCTACAATGAATGGCAGGGATGAATACCCAAAAGTGACACGTAAAAAAGCGGTGAGTTTTTCGAGGTGTTGATCATGTAATTGCCATAGAGTTTTTCGACTTTTTGTAAGTGTTATTGATGCGTTTGGCCTAGCAAATTGCATATCAGTATACCCTTCCAGGCTCTGAAGAAGGCGATACTGCCGAAACGTCAGCTACTGTTGTGTTGTGTTGTTTTTCTACAGATGTATGCTGTTTAACAACCTCGCGATTCCTGAACAAGAAAACGATGCATTCATATTCCAGCACCGAGGTTAACAGAAAGTTGATCCTGGAAACTATTCCTCACTAGTTCTGTACATTGCTTGTCTGAGAAAATACATGTTCCACACATTGCAATTCATAATACGACAAACATTTTTTGAACCCGAATTTGTTCGTTCCAAAGAGTTGTTATACAATTATTGCTTATACACAGACAGACTACCACAGTCTGTTTCTGATTAGGAGGGTGCTAAGAGTTCTTTTAACATACCAGTAATGAGGTGAGTTACATGTGACTCATCCCGTTTAGAGCAGCAATTTTTCTTTTTTTTTTTGTCGTATAGAGTCTTTTAACCATATGATATGTCCAACACACATGTTGTGATCGGAAAAAGCTCTATTGTGCGAAAAGAAATACATATGAACCTTCTTCCAGCTAAATGACGGCAATTTGACTGGTTATTAAATGTTACTTTATTCCAATCACTAAGATGAATCGTGGTCATCGTATGGAATAAAAGGGTATAAAAATTTCGAACTCCAGATAGGCCTCAGAACACGATAAAAACAAAAAAAAATTCGGTTTCGTCTCATTTGACTGCTGCATAAAATTATGTGTTGGCACCTGTTGCCTAATTACTACACCAGTTCCGTAATGATTCCTTGTTTATCATATAGATATAATAACATAGAAAACTATCGTTGATAAGGAGGATACAACGACGTTTCTACATTGACGGCATTTGAAACCGCAGTTATTGGGCTGAAAAAGCTGTGGGCTTTGACCTATTCCTGAGGGATACGCCATGTATTCGACTGCCTTGAATATCGCTGGATGTGATTGGATGCATATCTGGCCTTCACGCTTTAGCACACCGATATATCGACCCAGTGCTGCTACCCACGCATACAAGTCTACCAATTCTAGTCTGGTTTCAATTTGCCGACCTCAGAAGGATGGAGGGCTTGGCGGACCCAGGACGTAGGGATTGATCCCGTATGTATTGCAGGACGACTCCGACTACTGAGCTACATGCGTAAAGAAGTGGTAAAAAATTACACGTTGTCTCATGTCACACATATCCAAAACTAGATAATGACAAGAATGCATTGAATAGAGAGGATTAATTACGATTTGCACTTATCGAACAAACGTTGCTTACTTAAGTGATTTCCGACTTCCATGATCGCTTTGGGATCTTTTAAACACAAAACGGTAGTTGCAGCTCTGAAGTCCTTGCAGAACTCTAAAAAGAACAGACTGAACGAGGACCACCATGTTTTGTGGAGGTGAAACTAACTGGCTTTCGTCCAAACGTAGTACTGCTCAACCGAGAAAAACCTTTGTCCATGAATAAATAACTGCCGGCAAGGAAAGTGGTTTGAAAAAAGAGAATCTTCTGATGAAAATGGTATGATGTTTCTTCCCGAGTTCACCGACTTTACAATCAACAAATCACTCGCTATCTGTAATGCAAATGGGTATAAAAACTTTCTGAAACAAAATAAAAAAAGTCAATTGTACACATTGATTTAGGAGACACTAGGCAAAATAGTATACAAGAAAGGTCCTACCTCATAATTTGGCTTGCAATCAGAATCATCATCACTAACAGGTTGCAAGTCATCCTTGTGAACCGTCAATCCACTTGACAATTCGTCGCTTCCCTTCTTCAATTTCCTCTGTGTTCTTTTTTCATTACATTTATTCCTTCATATTCAACTTCATTTAAGCTACTATATGGAAAAATCAGCAGTTTAGAGAAAGATGCAAATTTGACAAGAAGGTATTGTATAGGCAAAAATAAGAAAAGGATAAAGCTCACAGCGTTGATCATTTCCTGAGGGATTAATCAATTCATTCTTCCTCGTTAAGCATCGTTTTAGGTGATTGAATGCACATCTGCCCTTACAATGACTCGCGGTAACCTATCGGTGTCTCAACCCAGTGGTGCTACCCTCCCAGACAAATCTGGTACCAATTTACCGATCCTGGAAGAACGGAAAGCTTGGTGAGCCTTGAACGCTGGGACCGATCCAATGTGCATTGTAGGGCGCCTCCGACCACTGCACTACACGCGCTCCTTGTATAGATAGCAACTATGTAATTAAAATTCTCAAGAAATAGTTTCGAGTATATTTTAAAAGAAGTTCAATTGTTTTTAATATCTGCAGAATCTTTTCCTCAAAAGTAATAAACCGGAGAATAGAATATTAAAAAAATAGCCTACCATTCTGAGCGAGCTCTTATCAGTTCCAGCTGAACTTTTGAGCAAGTTTGATGTTTTGTTGTCATCGTTCTGTTTGACTGGTGACAGAGTAGCCTCAGTTCCCTAAATAAATCCTATGTCCTCAAAAGTTCGACGTCATTGCAAAGCAGTTCACAAAGGAAAACCAAATAAACTCACAACATCTGACTTAACACCTGTAATCCATCGCTTTGGCATAATTACAGTCAACGTCTCCGATTTGTGAACATGACATAGCGATCGCAATGGCTTAAAAGGAACTTCTAGAACATAAATGAAGCAAATTCAAGAAAGAGTTCGAACTGGAAATTCATTACCGTCTTCGCCTCCTCTTTCTGCAATGATGGATTTTTCCATGTAGGCGAGTTAACCACACGAAAGTCCTTCAAACAGGACCGTCTCATTCACTATGGCTTTCCCAACCTCAAAACAAGAGATTGTCAAATGAGTACCTCCACATCTCTTCGAATTTCAATATTGAAGTCCTTGTCAGAAAAACTGTTGGTGGACGTAGAAGGAGTGGCAAATTGCTCATGTTGTCGAAACGTAATTGGCTTCTTTATAGGGCGTGTTGACACGGAGATCTCATCGGCAACAATCAAACTGCTCCTCTAAGAATTTAGCATCGATTAGTTATGTTGTAACTCTTAGACGGATAATACCGACGAAATATGAAACCATCTTAAAACTGATATATAGTGGAGAAAGTAAGTGGTGTACCTCTTCAGGTTTTCTTTCCTGCTGGACATTTTCTGAAGTTGACAATGAACCCTGGGCACTACATATACTGCTATTTTCATCTTCCTAGAAAACGCACTTCATGAACATCTCTGGACGAATGCTCGCACAACGAATAATGACCGCCGTGAAAATAATAAGAAAAGAGACAGAACGAAAGCTATGAAGAAAACTAAACGTAGAATGACATTAATGAAACCCCACCTCTTTGATGTGAGGAATCGTCAATCGCAATTGTTTGACGCTATCTTTTCGAGAAAGTCGTGAGGATATAGCCGAGAGTGGATCGAACAATCGGTTTCTGAAAGTTAAAACACGAAATACCAAAAAGATAACAAAAAAACAAATATTGGTCACTTCGGCTTCATCAGAGCCGATAATCCGAGTTGGCGACACGCAGTTGTTCACGGAACACGTGGCACACGAACAACTGTGGACCATCGACAAGGATTATCGGCTCTGATGAAGATGAAGACATCAAAACATTAACCGAGTAAACTTTCTCGACAGCCTCATGTAAAACTAACAATTTAAAAACATGTTGGTTATTTCGCTACCAAAGTTAAATGATGGTCGGTTTGAAAATCAACCACTTCTCCTACCGAAGACTGCTTAAATCATGTCGAACTATTCGGGAAACTAAAACAAAAACAGAATTTTTGAGACCCAGTAAGAGCAGTTGAACATTCTTCTCTCAGATTTTTCGTTCTGTAGAGCAAGTATGTGCTACTCTACCTTGTACAGCACTATTACTCACAGTTCGTAGTTGAACTACTGGATTAAGGAAAAAATAAGGGTAGAAAACGAGGTGTAAACTTATTGGAAATTTACTAGTAAAAAAGCATAAATAACTTTCATACCAACGGCAGCTTTGTGCGCCAGTGTATTCAACTTCATGTTTAGTGAAACGTTATTTGACGGAAAACTACCTCTTGCTATCACTTGGTTTAGAGGTGAACGTGTCGGATTCATCTCGGGCTATTTCGACGCTCCGCTTTGAAGTGCTCTAAAAGCACTAATAATTGCAACCACTTTCTATTTACTGCCTATTCCTTTCTAATGGCAGCATATTATGTGTAACACTACCACAATGATGATGAGATATTTGCAAAACTCTAGACCGCAGATGTCTGCGGTGGAGGGCGAACACGGTATTACCCCTTTTAGGAGCTAACGCGTTCACTACCACACCATGCGAGTCCTTTCTCTCAGCAGTATTTTATAGGTGCTAACACCAATTACCCGTCAATCCCTAGCAAACACCAAACCCGAAACGAATGATTATTAGTACACATAGTACACATATGACACATGGACGACTCCCATTAAAGAGGAATCTAGGAGTTCACCTTGTTTTGAATTTCGCTGCTACGTTGCTGGTTTTCTAACATTTCTTCTACAGATGTTAATTTTTTACTTACTGCCTACCGGAATTTTTCACCCCACAGTATTATGTATGATAAAACCACAGAGATGGTGAGATATTTACAAAACGCCGAACAGCAGGCGGTTGAGTTTCCTTCTACAGGATCCAAGGGAACCGGTACTAACACATTCCCAAGTCGCCTCATAGCTCGGCAGAGCTTGCTGGCAATTATTTTCCTGTTGTGTTCGCCTCAGCGTCAAATAGCGACGCAGGTTTCTCATTGTCTCATAGCGTGAAGAATCTGATGTACCACTAAGAAAATTACCTCGGAAAAAACTTGTATCACGGTGGTCTGAACAGCTTAGTTGTGGGTGCCTTTTTCGTTAAAGAAAGTGAAAATAAAAGATCCTCATGTCAAGAATCAGGCTATAATTATCCCTCGACCAAGTGTAGCTCATCTGTCCGCTTTAAAATGCGAAAGGAAAGAATGGACACTTCACTTATGCCTTACTACTTACTTGGAAACTTGGATGGCTCATTGGCCTGTCTTCACTGGTTGTGCGGGTTCCAGCATAATTTCCACTGTTTCAAGGTATTTCTGATTTAGCCACTGTGGTTCCCCGGAGACCCGAGGCCGGTCTAGTCAAAGTATGCTCCAGGCCGTCACCACCACAGGCAGTTGCCCACCCCGTGGATCAGAGTGAGATTTGCCATCATACGACTAGTTTGATACCAGGACGGTGATGAATCCTGGCATTGGTGAGCCTGAATCCTAAGGCCTTATTGGGTTACTAAGCGATTAAGGGATTAAGGGTACTAAGAATAATAGATGTGATATCAGAAAATACCTGCTTAGAATTGTCTACCACAATAACATCAGCTTCCAGAGACGTAGGGCTTCTCGCGGTGAACTTTGTCCTGAACTTACACAAATGTCAAGAAAGCAAAAAGACAATCAAGAGTCAACAAAGCTCCTTGTTTGATTTATCGAAGTAATATGGGAAGAAGAAATGCTCATCTCCGTATTGTGAGGAAGAACTATCGATAAGGGAATGAGAGTAGTTGAATCCAAACACGATACTGTAGAGTAATCCTATCTAACTTAGATAAAGCCGCGACTGAAGGAATACAGTAAAAAAACTGGAGGTCATCAACCATCTACATTCCCTTATCTGAACATCCACCACAAATAAATGTCATATAAAAACAAACAAACAAACCGAAACATTGAGGCCGACCTGGGCAAAGATCTCTTCCTCATAGCCTCTCTGCTGGAACGTAGTATGATCCTAACCCTAAAATCCTGAAGAAGTAAGATGTGATGTAACCTCTTAGAAAGTTGAAATCGTCACTGATGTCACTATTCCTAACGAAACTCCACACTAACTACATTCATACATAAGAGTCAAATATTAAACCAAATTTTGACCCAGAAACAAAAACCTGTCTACCAAACCTTGGTTTGCTGTCTTTTGACTTTTGGAACATGATGACTAGAGGCCCGACCAGTAGGCCTGAAAGGAAAGATTCCTGCTGGTTCCACTAAAAGAGATCATCCAACATCCAGAGAAAAAGCCTATAACGACCTAAGAGTGACACAAAGACATCAATGATACGTCCTTGGGAGTAATCATTAATACCTAAACATGCTTACTGGTTTGAAAGCTGATTCTGAATGGATCGCTAGCATGTTTAACAAAATTAATGGTCCCATTACAAGTAAAAAATATGGTACATTAACAAACTAACATTAACATTAACATATTGACAAATATAATACAAATATATATAGAAATAAATATAAAGCAGCCAACACCAACCGAACTTCTTTTGAACGGCGTTCTCGTCTTCGATTTCCTTTCTTTTTAGGTCCCTTTACTAAACAGCTTCAGTTCTCTTTTAAGTTCTTTTAGCAAGTAACTAAGTCAGTCGAACTGGCTCGACAGGATACTACAAAACCTCTTCCATACTCTCCCTTAAGGTAAAGTAGTATCCAACAAGAAATGAGAACTTCAGTAAATACGTAACGACTCCTGACTACTGACTGAACTTTTGAATTGTTTTCTCGTCGTCGGTCGGTCTCCCACATACATGCCGATTTTTATCAGGTTCCTATAGTCAATAAGTGAACGACTTGGAAGAGGTCGACGGGAGATCACAAAACCTCTTCCATACTCTTCTTTAGGTAATAGTAAAGTATGTAAAGGTAATAATTAATAGTAAGTAAAGTTCGACTTAAGATGAAAATTTCAGTGAATGGATAAAAAAATGTGATCCGCACAAAATTAAAGCATAAAAATATAGTGAAACCTTTCTATCTATTGAGGAACAACACGGCAAGAAATCGGACATTAGGAATGAAAACTACAAGGAGACAGAGCAGTGGGAACTCCGACCTTACCAGCTCAGACTCCACACTCCATACTCCGTAAAGAAGTGGAAAACAGGGACGTCAGTGGTCACTTTAGCCAGGATTCTTTGTTTTATTTCCTGTATTAATGCTAAAATCAGCAAAAAAAAAAGAAAAGAGGGAGGGATTATCGTATTCATGAGGGAACACTCCCACGATAGCGGCTCTCTGACGTGGACATTCGACGAGCCCTGATATCATCTAGAGCGGAGGCGTCTGCTCGCTAGCTGTTCAAGATGATGACTCTTCGACAGAAACCTCTTTCATCCGCCGAGGACGATATCATCGATGGTATTCTACTTAGTTGTTACTATGTGTTTAAAATGCTTCCCATGTTCGATTTTCCGTCAGGCTCACGACCATCGACCTAAGCACGATCAATAAATCAATATTGGTGGTGCGAAATTGGTCAGAAACTATCGTCAGCTACTAGAACATCCTGTCTAATATCTTTCTATCGATTCATATCACGAATATTCAGATAAGGTTCCATATTTATCCTTATCTAAGCATTCATTGTCATCTTTACGGATTTTTCTCAGCAGCGGTTTCTTTTGTAGTCCACAAAATATAGCTAAATTCTAAGTATAGATAGGTACGTTAAGCAGTTTCTAAGGATACACCTTAAACATAGGAGAGAAAAAACCCGAAAATCTGTACTAATGTTGCTTAAAACAAGCTTAAAGACCTTTAGCTATTGAGCTTTCAGGGATCGGCAGCACTATCCTCAAACATAGTGCTCTGTCTTGTTTCGTTAAATAAAGACTCACAGGACTTCGTTTTCCTTATTTTGGATAGGAAGAGTGCTATTCTGTAGCCATAGCCGACTTTGTTTCATCGTAGTAGAAAGCAAACAGTTCAATGATTCTTTCAGATAAGGTCCCAGATAAGTGATAAGACCAGAAGAAAACCTCCTTTTCCTTTTGCTTTTTCTAATATCAGAAAAACTATTTTCAAAACATAGGAGACTGTAGTACTTCCGTTTAGAGCAAAGTCTTACCTAGTGCTTTGAATCCTTTACATTCTCATCGTGGGACAAGATACTGGTAAGGTACTTCACGCCAGTTATGTTCAGGATATTTTTATCTCTCAGGATGGACTCACCGATTGACGTGATTGGAAATCTAATCAGTTCAATTCAACATTAATACAGATCTTCCTCATTTAAGAGGTCTGGATCCGCTTAGTCTCAGGGCTACGTGGCGTGATCCTGCAAACAGGAGGACTAAGTGTGGACCAAAATTAACGTGTAGTTTCTCTGAAACATAGGTAGATCTAGGCTTTGAATAAGGTGTCTCTTTTGGAGTAGGATAACTTGTGGCTTCCACATATTCATATTCATAACATACACTATGATGCTGAGATACCTGCAAAACTTGTACCCCAGGCTAGATTTCAGGCCGCGATTACCTTTTCCGGGGCTGAGGCCCACTACAGTACTGAGACCCTAGCTTAGCCTTTCTCTCAGCTGATATAGTAAATCCTCCCAACGGTGTAGCACCTTATCCTGGCTGGGAGATGTTCCCAGGTATCGCGCTGAGATTTACAGCAGGGGGATTCATCCCTTCAGCAGGGCTTTCCAAGCTGAGAAGGAGTCCGGCGTTTCCATCAGGAAACCAACTTGGATACTTAGACGGTCCGTCTTCACGAGCCGTGCGGACCCCAGCACATATGCCATTCGTTCCTTTCTCTCGCAATCGTAGCCCATGGTGGTGGTCTTGTTCGAGCATTGTAGCGCTTGCGAGTCTCATACCGTGATCTGTAAAACAACTGAAGCTAAGGGTACAGATGATTACCTTTGTTTACGAACACGTCCGCCCAATGTGTAGGTGGTCGTCCAATGGGGCTTTCGTATTCTGTTGAAGTCCACTCTACTGTTCTTTTCGTCCATCTGTCGTCTGTTCTTCTCTTTATGTGACTGGCCCATCTATGTTTCGCTGTCGATGTATATTCTCCTGGATCTCGAAGATGTGACAGATTTCGAAGGTCAGAGCTTCGCATTCGGCTACATATTGAGAGTGCCGGTTATATTTCAGAATACATCGCTCAAGCGCTCTGTGAGTAGTTCGAAGCATGACGTAGTTGAAGTATCAACCCACGTCTCTGCAGCATAGCAGAGCGCTAGGAGGACCGTAGATACAAAGAGATGAGCTCAAATTCTCGGGTTCTTCAGTTGGTCAGTGGCCACTTCGAGAGGCCCGAATGCGGTCCAAGCTGCTCTCCTTCTATCTAATTCATCCTTTATGTTGTTTTCCATGTTCATTGATCGCCCAAGGTATACTTACGAGGTAATCTCTGCAATGAGAGAGCCATCCAATTCTATTTTTTCGCCTTCGCACCATGGCTTTTTCATGAACTGGGTCTTCTTTCGATTTATGCTAAGTTCGACCTTTTTCCCTGCTTCGTTGAGCTCGTTGATCATCATCTGTGCTTCGTTAGTACTTCTTGAGAAGATGACAATGTTGTCGACAAAACAATGGTTTAATATCAGGAAACCTAGCTAAGAGTAAACCAATACCAGGATCCGCCACCGTCCTATTATCAAAATAATAGCATGGTGGAAAATCTTGACTGGGCTGAGCTGGGGAATTCAAGGAACCACAATGGTTAAGCCAGCAAAACTCCGAAAAAATGCGAATTATGCTGGGCCCGTACATCCACTGAAGACCGACCATCCAAGTATCCAACTAAGTAAATTTACAACGTTTTACTTTTTATTTTCTGCCTATTACAATTTTACGGCAGGGTATTAAGCGAAATACAATCATGGACCGTAGGTGTCTGTGATGAGGAACGAGAGCGCTATTACACTTTCCGAGGGCTAACGAGTTCACCATCACACCATGCCGACCATTCGTTTCGCCTATTTCTCAGCTAATAAAGTAAATTTAGCAAATCATAACATACATACGTGCGGGAATTGTAGAGGTGCCTGTTCAACCAAAAACCTCTAGTCATGTGACTAAGTATGGTGGGACGGTTAGTTTATATAGGAATACCAAGTAGTTAAGATGGTTCGGTCGGAATTTGCTGCTCGCCTTTGTGTATGCCACGCGGGACTTCTTGTAAGTAGTAGTCACAATGCCGGAAACCTCAAACTTGGGTAATTAAACCGTTCATCATAATTATACAACAATCATAACAATACAACTCTACAATTAATGTAACAATAATACTGGTTATGAGTAGGCGCAGCCTGATCACTGGTGTTCAGGTTGCTTGTGAGTGAAGATATTGGCATAACACTTTTACTACATGAGATGGATGTGACGCACGAATGCGGTGACTTGGGCAGCATTGCTGTGACATGAGCTAGCTAACCGTGGAGCCGTTTATATACCTTTGCGCTGGGCGGAGTCAGATTACAGTAGGCGGAGTTGGGCTACAGTAGGCAAAAAGACGGGTGCTGGAAGCATTTCACAAGCCTTGCGATCTGATAGGGCGATATTCAAAGCCTAGGACCGTAAGTGCAGATATTTTACGAGATAGGCGCCAGCGAAATGTTAGACATACGGCTATCAGATCGTCATAGAGAAAAGGTCATGGGAGAAGCATTTGAAATGTTTGGAAGGGTTATCAGATCGTGATGGAGAAAAGGTCATGGGAGAAGCATTTGAAATGTTTGGAAGGGTTATCAGATCGTGATGGAGAAAAGGTCATGGGAGAAGCATTTGAAATGTTTGGAAGGGTTATCAGATCGTGATGGAGAAAAGGTCATGGGAGAAGCATTTGAAATGTTTGGAAGGGTTATCAGATCGTGATGGANTTATGAGTAGGCGCAGCCTGATCATTGGTGTTCAGGTTGCTTATGAGTGAAGAGATTGGCATAACAGTACAACAGTATAATTAAGGCAACGATGATACGGGTAATGAATAGACGCAGCCTGATCACTGGTGTTCAGGTTGCTTGTGAGTGAAGAGATTGGCATAACACTTTTACTACATGAGATGGATGTGACGCACGAATGCGGTGACTTGGGCAGCATTGCTGTGACATGAGCTAGCTAACCGTGGAGCCGTTTATATACCTTTGCGCTGGGCGGAGTCAGATTACAGTAGGCGGAGTTGGGCTACAGTAGGCAAAAAGACGGGTGCTGGAAGCATTTCACAAGCCTTGCGATCTGATAGGGCGATATTCAAAGCCTAGGACCGTAAGTGCAGATATTTTACGAGATAGGCGCCAGCGAAATGTTAGACATACGGCTATCAGATCGTCATAGAGAAAAGGTCATGGGAGAAGCATTTGAAATGTTTGGAAGGGTTATCAGATCGTGATGGAGAAAAGGTCATGGGAGAAGCATTTGAAATGTTTGGAAAGGTTATAATTGATTTACATAGAGAACATTCCAATATTCGTGAAGAATGTTCTCTATACTAAGGATTACGTATGAAGCGCGTATAGGTCTCCTTCCAAGAAATGTTAAGTCTGTTTAACCCTTACGCAAGGACATGATCCCTTCAGAACTCGTGCTATACGAAAATAATGGGCTCTAAAGACCTTTGGGACGCACATTATTTTATTTCAGGGTGGTAAAATTTAGATTTTCCTGTACTCATGAAATCTATCCCTTCCTTTCTTTTCGTTTGAAGAACCTATTTTAAGCCTGAAACCAATTGAACGAGCGTTATTTCGTCCTTAGGAACAACTTGATGTTTCCCAATGTATCTATGTTCGCACCTGCCTCTGTTCCGTTGAAAATTTTGAAACTACAAGTTCGTTTTCAGTTCGAGCAATTCTATGACGGTTTTAGATCTAAACATATTTAAAATTAGCCTGGTCTCTTACCTGAATTGTGGAGCTAAGGCAAAAAAGAAGAGCGTCTTCCGTAAATCTGCAAAGTTCTGAGCTCCTGAAGTGCTCTAGTAACTGAGAAGTCATCGTTGGTTATTAAAAAGCCAGAAAGCCAGCCTCGTCTCGAAAGGGTTAAGATCGACTCAACAGTATACCTGCTCGAGACAACTCTGATGAACACCTAGTATTCATTGCAGGGGATTTTCTCTTAGAAGGTCTTATTTGTAACGAGTTTATCCCGTAGATTTTTGAAGTTTGAGAACAAGAAAGGACTTTGGAAAGTGTACAATTCTTTCCTGGAGCATAGGTAGCGATTCCGCTCATTAAACGTGAAGCGCTGCTTCAACGTCGCGGCGTGCCAATCAAGTTTCCCATCCATTCGGAATCAGGAAATTGGTACGGGGCTTGTTTAGGAAGAACTCCTTCCGATCTATAAAAGATGGTGAGTACATGTGGTGCAGATGTCGTAACGACGTAGCACAGTTTCTCCAAGGTTCCCGGGAGAATCGAGTCGATCAGCATTCAACACCACAAGGAAGTCCAAAGTCCCTAGGCAGCAGGCGAACCTCTCCATATATTCCGAAGAACTTTATGGATGATAGATTCCAGGAAATGAGTCTGACAAAGGATATAATGATATCTGAATAAAATGTCATGTCGGGTTCGCCAGTTTGCGCACTATGACTTCGATCGATTTTTCTTGGAATCGTCATCCAGAAAGATTGCAAGGTTCATCTGTGTTCTGCTATGGCTTCAGGATCTGTCCTTATGGACTTATTCAGTGCTGTTTGAGCAAGGTCTTCCTGGAAATCGTGGGGGCTTTTGCGGATTCGTCGGAACTTTGTGACTAGGATTCTTCTAAGACGTCACCGATTCCTGCGGCTTATCATCCGGTCGATCGACAACTGTGATACTGACAGAATTTACCAACAAATCTATCATTCTCACTTTTGAAAATCACTCTTCGGTTGAAGACTAGTTATTGATTAGTAATGTGATGTTAGTTTTTGATTGATAAGGGAAATCCTTTTATCTTTATGATGCAGTTTCATTTCATGTTAATCCAAAGAAGAAATCGTCTAGAATACTGACGTCTTGGTATGCCGCGTGTTCCTGCCATCGCTATTTTCTTAATTCCTTTTCTTCTTCCTGATTTTTCTACCTTTTTTCAGGATCTAAAGACCGTTTCATGTTTGGGTCAGTTTAGTTGGATGAAGTGGAATCAGTTTCGACGATCTCCTGAAGGTCTGCCATTCTTCACAAATGAGCCAAAGGCTAGTCGATTAGGACTTTTACGGGTAAATTGTTACCTGTTCTTTATTTTTCCTCATTTTGTTGTCTTTTTTCTTCTTTACTCATCAACATCCGGAGCATATTTTACAATTTATAGCGCTCATATGCTTTGTATGTTTACTATACCTAGTTCAAAAGACCGGCTTTCTATATACTTGGGGATAAGTGATCGATATAACTTTGTTTATATCTAGTTCATTTGGCGTAATATTGGTTGTACTTGACGGTCAAGCCGATTTTTGAGTACTTCTTCGCCATGACTGTTTAGTCGTGATAACCTCAGTTCAGAATATTCCAGTTATGGCGTTCGTTTCCTCGCTTGAAGCGGACAGTAGTTGCAGTAGTACTACTCAGCTGTACGTGTGCTTTCACGTTTATCATTGCATCGCCATACATAACAATGGAAGAAGATTCATCATCGGGTGTGATGGGAAGAGAAAACAGTGTAAGTCTATGTTCTGGTTCCTAACATTCTTTCTTGTCACTTTCGCATTTCTTTCTCTTACCTGTTACAGTAAGCAGTGGTTTTTTTCACTAAAGAAGAGACAGGAGATGGTTAAATCAGGTGTTTGTGTTATGGCGTAATTTTCCATTTGACCCTGCCAATACCGTAGAGTTGTCGCTGAGTTTTCAGTGTATAGGTGAAACAGCAAGTTAGCTTTTAACTAAACTATGAAGTAACTTTAGAAAAATAACGAGAAAGAGACGATGAGGAGCAGTGTAAGACGACCAGTACAGCAGAATACTTCTCCCCTTCCCACTTTCTCAGGTTAGGTTAGCGATAACTCATTGTATCTCTATTTTTAAATGGCTCTTTTATAAAGGCTTTTGCAATAACTATGTCATTTTTAGTGTAGTACTTTTTGTTTACTGCCTATTCTTTTTCACGGCAGGATATTATGTGTAATATAACCATAGCGATGCTGAGATATTTGCAAAACTCTGGACCGCTGGTGTGTGCGGTGGGGAACGAACGTGCTACTACCCTTTCCGGAGGCTGACGCGTTCACCACCACACTATGCGAGTCCCTCATTTCGCTTTTCTCTCGGCCGTGTTGTTGACCTATGGGCGCTGTATCTTTTTTGCTAGAGAGATGATTTCTATGCGACGTGTTGAAATCGTGCTTAATTCAATTCAATGTCTTTTTCATTTTGATGGATATCTAGGACCCACGAATGATAAACAACGAGCTGTAGTGGTCGCGTTTAAGCATGCATGGAAAGGATATCGAAAGTATGCTTGGGGCCATGATCAGTTGAGGCCTATCAGTGGTGGCTATTCGGACTGGTTTGATACCGGTCTCACAATAGTCGACGCACTTGACACAGCGATCATAATGAACCTTAAAGAAGGTGTGTTTGTTCATATTGGTTTGACGGAAAATTATTGGAGCATTTTGAGAAAAGAACAGGATTTTTCAAGAAGCTCGTAGACGCAGCTTCTAGACGCGCTACATTAAAGCACGTTGAGGAACATTCTAGGCTTCATGTTGAAGAGCTTCAAAGAGCGTAATAAATAAACATTAGGTTTGAATGACCATGTGCTATGGGTACCTTGCACAGTAACACCGCGATTACTTTGGTAGCCACTACGATCAGAGTAATTGGCGAACTAGTCATGCGTGGCACCGTTGTGTTTTGACCATTCCACTTTTCACAAGGTTTTAGTAATTCGCTACATTGGGTAGCTGATAGTCCTCCATTAACTATGATGGAATTCGAAGCCAGCTAGAACATCACTTACCCACGACCGTGTGCAGGGCGACGGAGGCATCCACTTCTCGTCGAAGAACATTTCCATGCTGTCATCTTCTCCAGAATGATGATTTGATGAACTTATCATTACTTTACGAACGGGAACATAACCGCGCTGCACTCCTTTAACTGCTGCTGTTGTGAATGGAAAGGTTCTTTACGGATCCTACCTGTAAAATCAGCACCGTAGCTGGATTATTCGCTACACCGATACATTAGTCTTATGGACAATAGTTATTTTCTTCTGAGAGCGAAACCACACTTGCAGTTCCTTCTTTCGATGCTGGAAAAGGCATGAAACGCTATGAGACGAACTCGAGTTTGTTGTTTCCACCACAAAGCTCGCCCACATATGCCTTCGACAGTTCTTGCGCTATTTAATTTTCATATTCCCCAGGCTATGAAATGATCCTCAGCCAGCATGTTCCACTTTCGGCGACTTCAAACTGTTGCAAATCTCTGGTTCTTTGTAAAACAAAGTGTTAAAGAAAGAAACACCACAGAACTATTCCACCAACAAAATGCTGCAACTACTTTGTTACACTACTATTTATTTTGTGGTTTGCCAACGGAAAAGGTCGAGTGTTGCAAGAAAACTGAAAACTTTGAAAAAGTTCACTGGACTAAGAACCCTCGGGATTTCTTGCCTTCTTGAAACTGACATTGGTTTTACGATTTCTTAGTTGTGTAGATATCTTACTCCGTATCTCAAGCGATCGACGAAGTGGCTGTATCTTTACCGTAACTAAATTTTACTATTCTTAGAAACAACTCAAGGGATAGACTGGATACGGAATTCGCTGTCTTTTGATAAGGATCGCTATGTCAATCTGTTCGAAACAACAATCCGCACTCTCGGTGGTCTTCTCAGTGCATTTCATCTTACCGGTGATAAGGTACTGGTTTTTTTCAACTTTATCTTTCTGACATTCTTTTCACTTCCGTGGTTATGACGTACAGTTAGTGTTTAGTTTGAAAAAAACAATAGACAGAGTAAATAAGCAGTTAGAAACTAGTGATTTTCTTTTAGATGTTTGTAGACAAGGCTGAGGATCTTGCAGGAAGGTTACTCAGTGCATTCTTAAGCTCAAAGTCGTTTGTTCCATTAAGCGATGTTAATCTAAAAACGAGGTTCGGTTTATCTTTTTTTTTACTTACCTTTCCATAATCCAAACTTTGTTCATATTTCTTTTAATGGAATTCTTATTACTGCATACCATTACGTTTTTAGAAAGGCTAGACCACCTTCATGGAGTGGCGAGTCATCGTTGTCCGAAGTGGCATCGCTACAGTTGGAGTTTCGAGATCTTTCTAGAGTAACTGGAAAGAAACTATACGAGGTGTTGATAAGTTGTCCTTTTATTCTGATAAATCCAATTTTTATCTTTTTTTTTCGCCCTTGCGCGTATTTTACTACCTCAGAGCGTAAGTTTTATTTAAGGAAGTGTGCTTTAATGTTTCGAAACACATTCACGAAATCGGATGTAACGACTACGGTGGTCTCTGTGATATGTTTTTGAATGCAAATACCGGACGTTTTCGCGGTGAGTTTCGAACAAATCATCTTAGTATTGCCTATTTTTGAAAAATACTTCCCTTTATGTTTTCTTGGTGAGCAGAACTGACTGAGGTTGTTGAAAGAATATTCATTCCGCAATGGCTAACGTTTCGGTGCAAGTTGCCTGATTTATTCAGAGCTTTTTTGGGTAAGTTAGATTGATAAACAGCCTACTCAGCCAAATACGGGAAAGATTTGCATGTAGAGATAATCGTTTTTGCACTGAAATCTGATATATCAATACGCAAATCTCTCGAGGCGTTTTAGATAAGTTCCAAAATCCAAAATTGAACAGCAAACATGAGTGCATTGTTGCCGCAGCACCTTCACAATACCTGAAACTCATTTTTCAACTTGAGAGGAACACGTTCTCAGTCTATACAAACACTGTTCGGTTTGCTGTCATCAATAAATGGAAGATTTCTAGAAGACTATGAAATTCAGGCTTCAAGTTTATTTTTTGGAATTGTGCAAGTATTTAGTTGGTCATATTGCTTGTTAGTTTGACCTTTCCAGATGCTTAAGAAGGCGAACTCCTAAGCCTTAGCTGGTGTGGATTAAATATTGTTTTAACACCGTCATTTCTACTCATGAAGAAAAAATAAGATTACTAATTGATACCCCAGCGAGTAGAAATTCGGTCCTGGGAATTACTTTCCTATCTTTTTTTTGTTCAATTAAGCTGGTGCTACTATCACGTTTGGAGCGCGTACCGACAGCTACTACGAATATCTACTCAAGCAGTGGATCCAAACGGGCAAAAGTATTGATTGGTTGGTTCAGTTTCTTTCATTTTTTTAAAAAATCCTCCGACATTGTTGATATTTTTTCTATTAATATAATCACTGAACAACTGCTGGAGTTTGAGACAAATATGTTTAGAGTTTTGGACTTACTACATTTCATTATGCTATTATTCGTTTCTCTAACATCAAATTCGATTTGGTTAGCATTACCAGTATCAAAGAAGGGTCGTAAAGAGCAAGCCTTGGACAATGCACCTTCATTACATCCGCATCGTGATGTCAAACGTGTGCAATTAAACCTCAGTCGGCATAGTCGATGAGAGAAATCGATGTTGTGCCGAAGTGTGAATTTGTTCGAACAAACGGCTTATGCACCATATAAAGTACCTTAAGTTCTCTACAACGTAACCTTAAATATAGACAATTGAACCATTGTGTAAACAATAAATTAATAACATGGCTATATTATTTTTCATATGCTATGGTACCCAGAAAATCGAAAAAGAGGTAGCGTCCATTGAATATGATTCAGAATAGGAGATTTTCTAAAATGTTGTGAACTTGATATAGAAGAATATGCGGGAAAATCGATAGACCAAAAAGCGGCACTTTATGCCATAAGTTCACCAATTTTAGTGTGTTTAGGAAAAGGAAGTATTATGAGGCTTTGTTGTTATGAACTTGTGCAAAAAAATACAAGTGTAATATGTCAGAAGGGATAGAAAACATGCTGGATGAAAAAGAAAATATTCTATGTAACGAATTTGTTGTTTAGGTTATTATCTGATTATATAACTGCTATGAATTCTATGAAGTCGAAATTGCTGAAGTATTCTGAGCCTAATAAACTAGCATTCGTCGGTGAATTGCTTCAAGGAAGCACATATTCTCCGAAAATGGTACTCTTTCACCTTGCTTTGTAGGCATATAGTGACAGGCATAAACCTTATTAGACATAACATCTTTGTCGGTTGTGAGTTTTAGGATCACTTGGTCTGTTTCCTTCCGGGTACACTGGCACTTGGTAACCATAACGGACTACCTGCCGAACACATGGAACTAGCCAAGGTTGACACATTAATTATAAATATTGAGCCGCTTACAGCTATTTTAGCTCTCCTAAAATTTAAGGAACTTGGAAGAACATGTCAGAGACTCTATGTAAATCCCACTGGACTTGCACCAGAAATTGCCTATTTTAACATGGATCCAGGTGGAACTGAGGATATAAGCATAAGAGTATGCTTCCACTTCAACTTTATTTTTTTGTTCAGTTTAGTGTGTTGTGTCTTCATTATTACATATTTAGCCTCTAGATGCGCATTCACTTTTGCGACCAGAAGCAGTTGAGGCATGGTTCTACCTCTATAGATTCACAGGCAGGTTTGTTTCCTCTTATCTTCTTCATTTTCTCGTACACTTTCTGTTTCAGGAGATAAGATTTACCAGGATTGGGGATGGGAAGCTTTCAAAGCTATTGAAAAATATGCGAGAGTAACAAACGGATACTCTTCTGTGAGGAGCGTCAATAAAATTCCAGTGTCTTACAGGTTCAGTTGTATTTCATGAAATGATCCACATTTCCAATTAACACCAGCATATGAGTTTAAAATTCTTTCCAGAGATCTCATGGAATCTTTTTTCTTGGCGGAGACCCTCAAGTATCTTTATCTCTTATTTGCTGATGATCAGACGGACCTCTTTCCTTTAGACAAATGGGTATTCAATACAGAAGCTCATCCTCTTCCAATATATTCAAGCTAGCATCTATATTGTGCCTAGCATTGGGTTTTTACGGTTACGTTTTACCGCTCAAAGTAACTTAATAATGGGAATAACAACTTTAGACCTCTTTTTTCACTTGTTTTTGCACCTCTCTTATCATTCTTCAAAAAATTTTCTATTTTTTCTTTATTTTGTAGTTCATTATGTACACATAGCTGTCGAGAGCTGAGCTTATAAGGCAAAGGTGGTCTGTTTATAGCAGTTGTTCTTTGTTGTCATTACATCATGGAATTCTGGTGTTTAAATGTACATTCATGTCAGTGGTGATGAGCCTCTTAAGAATTCTTGTCGATCAGAACATTCCATTATATTGTGCTTCTATTTTCATTGTATTGGGAGTTTCGGTGAGATTTGCGGTATTACGGCAAAAATAAATAGATGAGTTGTAGTTCATATGATGCTTTTTATCTTTATTGCTTCTAACAGTAAGATGCTCATAGATAATTCGTAGAGCTTAGCTATGAAGGCTAGATATACCCAACGACAATGTTAAGTTTTTATTTACTGTCTATTACAGTTTTTCACGACAGGAAATATAGGCAGGTAATAGGCTACAAATAAGAAGTTAACAATGTGATTTCGAGTGCAGCCTTAACTGGGTTCGTTGCCGATTTGGGTTCCCCAGATTAATCCCGTTGACTGGTGATTGCTGATGGCACTGGTAGATAGAAAACTAGCCGAAAGAAAATAGCAATGGAAGACACGCATGGTATGATGTTGAACGCGTTAGCCACCGGAAAGGGTAATAGTGCCTTTTTGTGCTAGTTGGCCAATAGAATAGAGAGGAGTGGCCGGTGGGATTTGTCTTCTGTCCGCCAATTGTAGGTGGAATGCTCAACTTCGTGTACGTTTGCCACGCGGGTCTTTTCCGTAAGTGCCGTGAACAACCTCGAATTTGGGTTGCAACAATTTATAGTAATAATAACACTACAAAAATAACAATGTGACGACATGCAGTGAGATGGACGGACACGAGCGAGATTGAAATGAGGATAAGTGAAACACTTGAAGAAAGTTGGGCGAACACTGGAGTTAGAGCACTGAGGGATAGGAAGACAAGCACTGGTTTTGATGATTAGTGGTGTTCCTTGCATTCTATCTGTAATGGATGGGGCTTTACAGAGGAAACCAGAGACAGTACTCAGAGAGGTTATGAATTTTCTCAGTTAGTACAGTCTGTTTGAGCTACTTGTACAGAGAGTTCGTAAAGGCTACACGGTGGGTTATACAGAAAGTGCGTGTTATAGCGATGTAGCGGCTTATACAAAAAGTTGATTGGAACGGCAAATTCTCGAAAGTACAAGCAGCTGACACCTGCTCATTCAGTGACCGAACCGTCGGACAAAGAAGAGCAGTTTATACAAAAAAGTTACAGAATCCCTTTCTAGCCAGCTGCGAGGAAAATGCATGAGATGGTCGCTGAGGCAATTTACAGAATGTGCAAGAATACATCTATGATGATTACAAGTAAACAGTTATTATAGAAGACATAAGATAATACATAAATAGGAAGTTTCTGAGGAATATAACTTCTATAATGCTGCGATATTTGCAAAACTCTAGACCGCTGGCGCCTGCGGAATATTTGAGGAATAGTTACTATTGCGTTTGTTCCCCACCGCAGACATCTGCGGTCCGGAGTTTTGCAACTATCTCAGAACTATTGTGATTGTATCATATACCCAAAGACAGTTTGTCGAACTTTCTCGAAGCGGGCATTTGGCTCAAGGAAGCCTAGCGAAGATCGAAACTTCTCCTCAATGTCCTTAAAGGCTGTAGTGAACTTACTTACTTGGATACTTGGACGGTCCGTCTTCACGAGACGTGCGGACCCCAGCACATATGCCATTCGTTCCTTTCTCTCGCAATCGTAGCCCATGGTGGTGGTCTTGTTCGAGCATGGTAGCGCTTGCGTGTCTCATACCGTGATCTGTAAAACAACTGCAGCTGCGGGTACACCTGATTAACTTTGTTTACTAACACGTCCGCCCAATGTGTGGTCGTCCAATGGGACTTTCGTATTCTGTTGGAGTCCACTCTACTGTTCTTTTCGTCCATCTGTCGTCTGTTCTTCTCATTATGTGACCGACCTATGTTTCGCTGTCGATGTATATTCTCCTGGATCTCGAAGATGTGACAGATTTCGAAGCATTCCGGCTACACAATGATAGTGCCGATTATATTTCAGAAGACAACGCCCAAGCGCTCTGTTAGCAGTTCGAAGCATTATTGACGTGGCTGAAGTATATACTCCTCTCTCTGCAGCATAACAGAGTGCTGGGGAGGACTGTAGAATCAAAGAGATGAATGCGGATTTTGGGGTCCTTCAGTAGGTCGGTGGCTTCTTTGAGAGGCCCGTATGTGGCCAAAGCTGCTCTCCTTCTTCTATCTAATTCATCCTTCATGTTGTTTTCCATCTTCACTGATCGCCCAAGGTATACTTACGAGGTTATCTCTGCAATGAGAGAGCCATCCAACTCTATTTTTTCGCCTTTGCACCATGGGTTTTTCATAAACTGGGTCTTCTTTCGATTTATGCTAAGTCCGAACTTTTTCTCCGCTTCGTTGAGCTCGTTGATCATCATCTCTGCTTCGCTAGTGCTTCTTGAGAAGATGACAATGTCGTCGGCAAAACGAAGGTTTGATATGAATTTTCCATCAATACGTATACCTTTCTCATCCCAATCGAGTGACTTCACTATCCACTGCAGTGCGGCACTGAACAGCTTTGGCGATATTGTGTCGCCTTATCAAACCCCTTTTCCTATGGGTATTGTAAGAGGTCGATGGAAAAGCTGTATTTTCGTAGTGCAGTTTCGATAACAGTCGGACAGAGTCTTTATGAAAGACGGGTCCACTCCTTAGTCGACGAGCGCTGATAGGATTGCATTCGTTTCGACACTGTCAAACGCCTTCTCATAGTCGACAAAGGTTAGGACTAGAGGCAAGTGGTATTCCCGACAAACTTTGATGACTCTGGACAAGGTTTGGTGTGGTCCATGCAGCAAAATCCTTTTCGAAATCCTGCTTGCTCGACTGGTTGCGCCTCATCCAATGTCCTTGATATGCGCGAGAGGATAGTCTTCGTGAAGATCTTGTAAAGTACACTTAACAAGCATATGGATGATAGTTACGAAGATCCCTTCGGTCTTTCTTGGGCAGAATGACCGTGCGCGACGTCCTCAACTGGTCTGGGATTTTTTCCTTTTGAAGGTAACCTGTCTGCGAGAAGTACATGTAAATTGTGGCCTCCAGCTCTAAGGAAATCGGCAGTGATATTATCGGGTCCTGGAGCTGTTCACCTTTTCATGCTTTCTATCGTAACTCGAACCTCCGACGGAAGAATTCCAGGTGGTTTCTCTCCAGCGGGGATATTAGGGTTCGGGACGGGGATTGTGGAACGGAAGAGGTTGGTGTAGAACGTTTCCGCTATTAAATCCATATCATGGCGGGAGGTTTTGACGATCCCATCTTCGTTCATCAGGGCTGACAGCGGAACATTATAATCACACAAGTCCCAACGGCATTTTTTTTAGACTGCTTCTTTTCTCTGCTGCTTCCAGTATTTTCCTCTGTTTTTACCGTTATAGATGTCCCTGCAAAGCTGTTCTGCAGCTGGTATTTATTGCTAGCTATGTTAAACGTTTTGCAGCAGGATCAGGCTTCAGTTTCGTTCTCTTTTCGAGCAACACCTTAGTAGTGATGGAGATGTGATCCGATCTTCTTGCTTGAGGAACTGAGACGAATTCGGCACATCTTTCCAGTCCTTCGACAAGCAGCTCGTAGTCTTCGGTCGGGTCTTCTTTAATCTGCCAGTCACGTTTGGACAAGACTTCGTTCAGAATGTTCTCGTCGTATACAGCTAGACTTTTTCCTCGTGATCGATGAAGAGAGTTCTTTTCCAGCTTGCGACTGAATCGAATCCTCGAGCGAAAAAGGCGGTGATCGGAACCAGTACAGAATGACGGAATTACCGATGTGTCAAGTAGGCGCCATCTTCTGTTTGTCAGAATATGGTCGATCTCCGCATGAGTCATGATGTTGGGAGACTCCCATGTCCAGCGGCCGCTTCTTTCTTCTGGAAAAACGAGTTTCCATAGAAGAGACGTGCTGCTGGCAGGAGTCCTGTGAGACGGTTCCCATTCTTATTTCTTTCTCCTAATCTAAAATTTCCGATCCTGTATTCGCTCTCGTTGGCCTTTCCTATTCTGGCGTTGAAGTCTCCAGCAACAAATTTATGATATACTTTATCATTGCGGATGACTTCCTCCGACTGATAGTAGAACGCATTTAATTCGCACTTATCAGCCGCGTAGGTCGGTGAGTAGCAGTTGATGGTAGTAATCTTCTCATGATGCGACAGTTGAAGACGGAGGACGGCTATGCGAGGGGAAAGGATCACGTATAAGTCGACGAAATGGACAATGGACGGGTGGACGACAAATCCTACGCCATCGACATTTCGTGACGGGACCTTTTTTCCACGGATCACAAGGATCCCGTTGTTTAGTTGGCGTATGTCGGTTTTCTCGATTTTTGTTTCTTGTAATGCGATCACATGAAATTTAATGCGATCTGCGGCTACAAGAAGGGCGTGAAGATCGGTGTCTGTGGAGAGTGTTCTGATATTATACGTGGCACAGTAAGAAACAATCTCCATGGCGTGTCGTGCGTGTGTTCGTCAGATCCGGCTCCAATGACGTCCTATGTAACCCGAGATTTTCTGGCCTCTCACCGGTCGCCTCACCGTCTGACGTCATAGACGGGATCATCCAGTGTGCGGCGTACTGAGGCTAGCCTATTGGTGGTCGTGCAACTTGGTTCTCCCTGGATTCTTGACGTAACCTTACAAGGGCGCATCCAGGTCTTCACCACGATGTGGATCAGAGGGAGGTGTGTTTTCGGCGACGAATCTTTCGCTCGGTCTTCCTACTAGTTGATACGGAGAGACTGAACTGCTGTACTGAATACCTCTTCCT